CCTCTAGCCAGTGGAAGCCGCCACTTTGGTATAGTGCATGCGCTTCTCACTTGTATAGTGCGTGCGCCTCTCGCGTGTATAAGTTATGCGCAGTAAGGTTGCGCAATGTAATAGAAAGAAATTACTTCAGAGATCTAACTAAGGATCTTCAGAGCGCGCAAGAGTACACAACAACAGCTCAAGGAAGGATAAAAAATAATAAAATAACCCATTCCTTTAGGATCATCTTACCATCACTTTCATTACGAGAAGTCCTCCTATATCTAAAGGTACCCAGATTGGATAAAAGTCGAAGTTAACTTTGTTTGAATACACTCCGTAAGATATTAAGACGGAGTCCACTCCACAAACATTGCCCTACGACAAGGGCATCTGCTCACCATCACCAAACATGAAACTCAGAGAACTTTACCATACCAAAGCATGTAACTGAAAGATTACGTCGCCATTTAATTTTAATAATCATTGTTGATAAAAGTTTTTTTTACATTATTATTTTTAGTTTTAGAATTTAATGTAACATTGTAATTCTTGTCTATGCAAGACTAGTGACATTAAACACATTATTACTATTATTAGTATCATTTTTGATATTATCCCTAACCCCAACGAATAGTGCAAATGTGGTCATTCACCGCAAGCATTCAGGTTCTCAGAATTTTGTGTTATTTGATGCACTTGTATTTCTTCATGCCTTACAGAGCGTTATGGCTGAATATACCTGGGCTGATCATTGTGGTAACTATTTGTACACTGGACGGAATGGTGATATTTGCAACATACGCTGATTGTGATCTGAGAGAAACTAAGAAGATCTCGAGAGGCGACCAGGTAAAGATCAGATTCAGGGAAAGGATGTGGGGTTCTATTCCAGCGCCTTTACATCGCAATGTATAAACATGTGTGGATTTTAAATTCTATGAATTAATACTTTTCTTTGTTTGGGGGAAGGAAGTTGTATGTTTGGGATCCCCAAAAGCTTTGTAGGTGGGAGATTCGATCGCCAGCCGCTGTTAAGAAAAACGAGCCCGCATCCTTAACAAGGAGACCGGACCCGAGAACGGTAGAAATCGAGAACGATCGATGAGATCGATCGAATATTTTCGGACAAATCCTACATGAGAAGAGGCTACCCCTAATTCTCCCCCCACCCTCTTCATTTTGATGTAGTATCATCTGCATGTTGCGAGGCGAGACTCTTATCTTGCTCAAAATACTTTAAATTAATTTTGTGTAAATAGTCAGACGGTTTCTCCGTTATTGCTGGGGCTATTTATATTCCGTAATACTGCAATGGCAATTCTTAAACTTAGCGTTCTTTTAACATATTATTTTAGGGATTATTCTTCAAATATTTTTCAGGTTCTTCCGTATTTCGTCATTAACAAGCTTGGACATCTCAAGGGCCTGCCTGGAATGTTTACTGCTTGTCTGTACGGCGCTGCTCTCAGGTACCTAGCTTGACATATAATTCTACATCTTTATTAGACGCAACACTTCTTGCATCATCATCTATTATCCTCTGAGAGACGCCTTTCTATTCAAGATCATTCGCTTGATACCTCTGATAAATCCTTATTCAGTGTCAGCTTTTCACACATCATTACGATTTTTCAACTTTTCAGGTTCCAATATCAACGTGAGAAAAATACTAACGAAGACCAACTTCCATTTGGCCACAAAGGATCTATTTAGTGCTTATCTATTTCTGTATTTATTTTCCTACCAGCACAATATCCTCGGCTTTAAATGCCATGTCCCTTGTGACAGTTGAAGATCTCATCAAGCGAAGAATAAATTTAACCGACTCTGAAGCCACAAAAATTAGTAAAGTAATGGGTAAGATAACTTTTTACTCAAATATCAGCCTATGCACATTTATTTAACTCAGGAGCACAGACTTCAATGCTTCAATACTTCTTGCACACACTTCTCAGGAAACCCGGTGGGGCGACCGGCGTGTTGCTTTTGAAGTGTTGTTTATTTTCACGTATTTTCCCCTCTTAGCGGTCTTCTATGGCGGAATTGTGATGGGTGGAGCTTTTGCAGTGAAATATACTGGTGCAATGGTTCTCCAGGTAAGACGTCATTTCTTACCTGAGTTACGACATTTTTCAGCCTGTGGTGCAGACTGTCTCGAAACACCATATCCAAGTTAACTTTCAGAACCCAATCATTTCTGTGGGTATTGCACTGTCAGCACAATACTCAATCGCCTTCGGCTGAATGAGTGAGTAAGTGAGTGTAAGAATGTAGGCCCGCGGTGCATGCATGAATTTCGTTTTCATGGTTAAAGCACTGCCCACATGTACGCTTTGCTGGCCTATTTTTTGATTCGGTAACAAAATCAATTCAGTATTGTTATATCCAAACGATCTTAACCAAGTAATTCTAGCTTTCATTGGCTTGAAGCCCGTACTCCGAATTTTCATCAGCCACAAATGATATAAACTTTGACGTTCATTGACTGCCTTCTTTGCTTTAGTTTTGCGGCACTCACCTGATACGAAAAAGCTCTCAATCTCAGCTAGCAAGTAAAGTAAGCAGTGATCATATTAAAACATCTGTTTCATATTTTCCTCAGCTTGCTTATAGTATCACCGGCATCTTTGGTGGAGCACTGCTTGCAGTTGTCACACTTGGAATGTTTGTTCCAAGGATGAACTCAAAGGTGACTGTTACCGAGCCTTGGCAACGTGTATATGATCCGAAACTTGAATCGGTTGTTCCCAGTTAAAATTTAAATACCACTTCTGAAAACAGTTTGGAGCAAACTTCGAGAGCTTTCGGTTTTAATTCAGGAGGGCATTTTCAGAAGGGAACGCACCTTTAACTCTCTACATCCTAAAATCAGTATCCACATTCTCTAGACTCCTTTCTATACATTTTCATCGGTACTGACATGGAGAATTCGCTCAAGTATGAAAGCCGGGGGCTTCCTAGTTTGGGGATCATTTCCCTCATCCTCATGATGTAAATGAATGATTCTGCAGTATCAATATAAATAGAAATTCAATGCTGGTCACTCTAAGGGTTTAAAGGGTTAAAAAAAACTCCCTTTAAGAGCAAACTTTTTTTTAAATGCAACTCGTTGTTGGTGGCAACATAATTTTTTTCAAGGGACGAGGTAGCTTACGTTTTCGAGGGTGCATATTTTCCTGAAGTAAACTGTTCTTCGAGAGACAACATCTTTTGAGGAGAACGCAAGCGATATTGGAATTCTTGGGTCGTAGGTGACGGGACTTAACTACTAAATCTTACAGTGATTTGGCCCCCATTTGCAGGGCGTCTACTTCGGAGTTCTGACAGGTGTTGCGTTGTCAGCATGGGTGTTCGTTGGTTCTGTTTTCTACCCGCCTGATACCAACCCAGGCCTACGTTCGGTAGAGGGGTGTTCATTTTACCAACAAGCTCTGATAAACGACACACAGGGGATTCTATCCAAATATGACAATGGAACCATTAGAAACCGTTTCAAACCACATACGGGGTAAGACCAGATCGCGCCTGATTTCTTTAGTTAATTTATGATCTTCACTTGCTTTTCGCTGAGTTATTTCAAACTTACTGTTTCTTTAAGATAATGAAGATTTTAAAACGCTGTAATGGGAAACTTCGTTTTAAATGACTCTCCGAAGTGGTTTTGTGTGGCTGAAACTGTTCAAATAACTAATACCATTGTGCTTTTTTTTCCATTTCCAGCACTCCGTTAGCTGACCTATACAGCTTGTCTTATTTTTGGATTTCTGGAGTGTCATTTGGTGCAGCATTCATTGTTGGATTGATCGCAAGTTTTGCCTTCGGTAATAACAATAAAATCATTGTAGCTTTGAGCTAACGTTCATGATTTGGTAGCTAGTTTACTATTGCAGGGGATAACCTACATCAGTTTGCCTTTTACTCAGATTTTTCTCTTTGTTTCACTTAAGAAACTGAGGCAGACAGGCGTAAGAAAGTGGATTCCAAGTTGCTATTCCCAACAAAAGCTTGGTTACGCGGCTTTCTGCCTGGTCACAAATTCACATGGGAAGAAGAAGAAGTGGCGTATCTAAGCCAGGGAAATGAGGTCCAAAATAAGGTAAACGTGTAGCCTACCGTGTACCCTTACCCTCCCCCCCCCACCCCCCCACCACCAGGAAGAAATGGAATGGAGGCTAGTAAAATTGTCTTCCCTTCCAAAATGAAAAGCATGTCTGCGTCATTGCTGTTTAAATTTCAAAAACTGCATCACAGAAGCCCACGCAAGTAACACTTTCAATGCTTTTTGGATGAACACCTAGTCCAAAGCTTTAGATCATGATTACAGATCTTCGCCTATAGCCTCAGCTAAGGCAGCCAAAACAATGAAAGGGGGAGGGATGCTTTTTGTATTTTTTGATAATTGCTCTATCCAAGAAAAGTTATTTTGAAATTTGAATGATACACCGAGTTACTCTGATCAAAATATGCTAAAAGATGGTCGTAAAGGATACCAGTGGCCAATACTTCAAAGAAGAATTAAAGGTTTTGGTTACGAAAACATATTTTGCTCCTAGGGTCGGCCTTCCCTAGATTGACAATCTTCACGTCACTTAACTCAGAAGGCCTCCTTCGGGCTATATCGGAGTATACCAATCGTTAAAGTAATCCTTGATTTTCAAATTTGATATCATTTTCCTCCGTTATGACCCTGTCTCTAACTTTGTTATTTTCAGAAACAAGAGAACTATCTCCTGAAAAACGAGGATACCAAATTGTAGTCAGACGTGTTCATATGATCATTGTATCAAAAGATGATCCAGCAATATATCTACATAGCTCTTTCGATGTTGCATTCAGCCCATGGTAGCTGAAAAAAGCGGACATTCGATTGCCATTTTCAGCAGTAGCAACAATAAACTAGTAACCACAATAACCCAGTATCGAACAGTATGTTAAAGAAACACATAACTTGGTATCATTTAACTTCTTTAAGGCTGAAAGTTTTGACAACAGCCAAATCGGCAGAAAGCAACACCACATAGTTTTGTCAGTTTTTCTTTGAAAAAAAAAATTAAATAAAGCATAATGTCCTTCTCAGGTTCGTATTAGTTGGGTTCTATTGTCAGTATACATACGTGTATGCACATTCACTCTTCCTAGGTATTGATCCACTGGGTGGTTTGAGATTCGTTTCATGACGGATTATTCGTTTCATGAAGGATTATTCTTTTCACTGAAACTTTTCACTCCCCACCCCCCCTCCATGGACAAATGACGCTCGTTAGCGCGCACATGAATAAGCATGACGTTGCAAAAATGTTCTCTATCATAAGAGTGTCTCCAGGTCCCTCTGTGTTCTCTTTCAATGGCGCGTCTTCAAAACACGGGTGTTGGTCAGCCTGTGTGTGCAGGTATACAAACTCAATCAGCCCACCTTCAAAAGCAATTCAAAACTGGACGGGTGACCTTCCGGGTGGTTTCGCTGTACTGTTCGCTTTGATTCTTTCAATCAAACAAGACTTCAGGGCTTGTAAAAGCTATGAAGAAAAAGTAAGATAAAACAAAGCCACAAGAAGGACCAACATAGTTAAGATCAAATTGATGTTAAGAAGGTTACAAAACGAGAATCATTATCTATATCCCCTCTCGGCTAAAAAGAAAACAGTCTACACGCTCATCCGTCCTAATACTAGAATAAAACAATATGTGATTGTGACACACACGATAACACACAGTAAGCAGGCTAGTGACCAGTCTCCAGCCTTCCTTCATTTCACATCGCAGTTACCTCATTGCTATTGTTGTTAAACAAAGTGTCCCTAAAATTCTTGACTTCCATCATGGCTGCCAGGTTTTTCAAAATGAAACCTGCGCAATAGCTGAGCAGCTCTTTTGCCTCACACAACTGAAAAGTTACAGCAAGAAGTCCCATCAAACCATCGGCAATATATCATTAATAGAGCGTTCCCTATTTATGGTAATTCCTGAGAGTTCTAATTAAAATTAAAATTTTTAAGTCGCGACCCTTCCGTCAGGGAGGCACAGAGGTCATATTTACCACACGTTTACGGTAATTCTTTTGAAATGTTATTTTTCCTTCAATATAGGGTGTTTGAATCCATCCCGTTTCCTCACAATCTTAATTTTGCCTTCGAGTGCTTTTCTATTCGGCGTCGCAAAATTAAAGCCAAGGTCATAACAAAGGGTAATCAGAGCAAAGAAAATATGATTAATTTATGAGAACTAAAAGTATAAAAAAAAAGCAAACTTCATGAAGCGCGGGGATAACTGGATGACCAAGTCGCGTTGGATTTTGGATTTGCATCTGATTGGTTGAGAGGGGGGTGTGATTTCTTTAGAGACTCAATTAAAAATTGCCCTACGTTTCAAGTGTCAAATACTGGTGGGGTGGGTTGAAATCTGAATTTGAGAAATGGCGCCCTTTGGACTCCCGGGTTGTGGTTGACGCAACTGTAAGCAGAAATGAATGGATGAACGAAAAATCAAACTTAAAATAAAAGGAAGATCAACGATTTACTCACATTTGCGAAAACGTATGTGTCGACAACGTTTTCACAGTCAAGGTGTTTCGCAGCAAGACGCTCACAATGACGTTTTAATGAGTCCAACATGAAGTACTGCGAAGCCTGTAACAACTATGTGGGAAACAAAGACGGAAAAGCAAGTTAAGAAGTGAACAAACTACAGATCTCCCAAATGCACGAAAAAAAAATCAATCACAAACCTCCAGAATTTTATTTTGATGTACAGGATCGTCCACCGCTCCGCTGTATAAAAACTGAATCACAAGCTAAGAAAGTAAAGATGTTATCATTATCACCCCCTCATTAATATATATTAAATAGGTGTAAAGCTGCCTCCTCCATGTGGTAGGCCATACTATCTCCTCTTCCCCCGGGCAGAATAAAAAGGGAAACAACGACAAGAAACCTAAACCAACCAAAAATAATGTCGTCAAGTTTCCCTTCGAAGGATCGCCGTTCACTTTGGCTGGTCGTAAGAGGATGGAGAGCTTAGTGTCTTCCCACAGCACACGAAAGAATAACCACCCCGATCCATACAATAGTACACTGATGTGAGCCTGATTGTTTACAGGGCGGATAACGCTATCCACTCACTGGATGAGTCTTTATCCATAGAATAAGTGTTAACAAGACGCACTGTGCTATATCCAGTGGATAAACACTCGTCCAGCGGATAGCGCTTTCTACCCTTAAAACGACGGCGACATAAAATCTGTGATGACTATCGTGTAGAGCAAGCAGCGTCCATAAACGCAAATGTTACTTCAATCATAATCCTTACCATAAATATTTCATATTTTATGTCAGTTATTTCAATACAGGGGGTGCTCCCATCGTTCGGCTCGATAGTCTTGTTTGACAGCATCGCCTTTAAAGTGGAAGACAATCCAGTTAGAGAAACAAAAGACACGTAAATGCCGATATATCTTAACTATCTTGTCGATATATCTCAATTATATCTTAACCCTTCAACTCCCAGGATCGGATTCATACTTCTACCTCCTATAACTGCTTTGAATTTCCTGGTAAATTAGGTAAGCGCAGTTTTTGAACAGGTTCTCTGGTTGAGAAGGGGGCGAAGAGGAAAGCGAAAAGAAAGAGAGCGAAAAGGGGTTGGGGTAGGAGAGAGGGAGGGGTAGGTGGAAACTGCTTGCCTTGCCGCACCCCCCACTCCCAGGAGAATTTGGCGCTATTTCAAGTCAAAACCCTCTAGCTAGTTAATTTTAATATTCTTGTCTTCTCTCAGTTGGATAATACACTAAAACTGTGACAAAAGCGCACTCGTATAACAGACCTTAAACTTCTTTGAGGCGGTGGCCAGGATGATTTTATGAGCGTAAAACGGTCGCCCTTCAACAACAAACGTGATGTCAGACATCTCAGGGCTGTTAATGTAATCTGGGCCTGTCAGAGAAATGTAAAACATATCAAGTAAACAAACCTGTATCAATTCAAACTTAGTTAAACGGCCTTGCCTACCACGAGTCTTATATGACTCCTATAATGGTAGAGCGTCCAAAGACCGAACGGTCGTAGCTTCTTATTGGAAGCCCTCAGAAGCCCTTGGAAGCACTATTAGAGGCACTCGGAATTTTTTTTCCCAGTCTGCCGGTGTCAATCATTGAATGACATCGTTTTTTTTTTCCAGTATATCAGACTTCTTCCATAACTAAACGAATTATAAAGCTGAGGTGCTTACAGAGCAAGTCTCCCATGAGTGATGAAATGAATCCGGGATTGCATTGTCTTGAGTTCTCACTAAGTCTTTTCACAATTCCCTCTGATCTGATCGGACACGGTTTTGTTTCAAGGAGACTGAATCTAAACGCGCTTAGCATGCGACAGACCCTCATTATTGGGGCTACGGGACACGCGTTTCTCCGTCCACGGGTAGATTTGAGAAGAGTCGGGGAGAGTTTGCGGGGAGTCTTCCACTAACAGTGCCAGACCCCTCACCGACTCGTGTTACTCAAGGCTTCATAATTTCCCGCGGTTGAAGAAACACTCAGGCCAAAGAACAAATAATGAGGGCCTGGTCGCCAGCAAAAACGTGCTCTAAAGACCATCTAAGTGAATGTGTTGCTCACCGATTCTGATTGACGTCTGTGTTATGGGAAGTATCTCGATCTCCTTTAGAGGTTGACGGCCAAAACAACACGACAGCACCGAGGCAAGCTCCTTCGACAGAGCAAGGTCCTAAATTTATCACAGTAAAACCAATTAAAACCGCGTGTTACGTCTACCTTTGAAGTCGTAACCATAACGAACACTACCAGAACGTAAGGACTGTCTATTTTCTTCAAGACGCATAACAATATATCTATTTTTTCCACAAGGCACTAAGTTCTCCCGATCAGTGATTCAATGTTTATGTTACCTCACATTCCTTGAAAATATTGAACAGGATGACAAGTCCGTCCTCACAGAAGTCACTTGTGTACTCATTAGTCGGCATTGATTGAAAGTCACGCAACAAACATTTGAGGAATGCCTTTTGTCCTCGTTCGTACGCGTGACCTACAGTTTGACTCCAACAATGGATGTTCCATGGCACACCTGAGCAGGACAAATGGAGAAAGTAGGTGGATTTTGTGATATATATATATATATAGGTCCTCCGGTTTCCCACCCTCCACCACCCAAAAAATTTTAACATTCCCAAAATCAACTTGACCTGGAAACAGTGGACAAGAAGAGCCACCTCGTGGAATGTCCACTCCTAAATTCATATTTTCATTATCTTCACTTTGTATTACACGATCTCCTTGGCCTTTGAGATAAATTTTTTTGCTTGTTTTCTTTGCTTTTATGATGCTCAGACGAAATACACTCTTAGAGGTAATGCATAATTCATTCTTACCCAAACTTCTTAACTCCATTGCGATTTCAAGGAATCCATGCTCACAGCTGTGGTACAGAGCCTCCTTAAAAGAACGAAACATGCGAAGTTGAACAATGAGATATGTAAAGAAGAGTTAAGAATTTAACCCTTTTAATCCCCTAAGAGTGACTAGCTTCTAATTTCTCCTTACAATATCACCCTTCAATCAAACATAAAGGTCATGAGGATTAAAGAATTGATCACCTATGCAAGAAGCTCTTGGTTATCAGTAAAATGATCCTTATCCAGCACCACAGGAAATGTAAAGAGAACATTGAAAAGAATATGAATATTGATGTTAGGGTTTTACGGGTTGAGGAGTTCAAATTATGACATCTCACTGGAATCCTGTGGTACCATCTTACTCTGCATGTCATCTACCTTTCTTGCTTTTTTCAAAGTTCATTAATCATTGTCCTCATTACCTTGAATCAGTTTTTATTCTATTTCAGTAAGCTTCACTCATACAAAAAGGTAAAAACCCAGCTTGTTAAGTCAACACTTCGAGAGGACATATACCTCAAGAGCCATGCTTTTTTTCTTTGTTAATTTCATTTCGTTTCCTTCATCCGAGAGAGAACCTGGGTTGAGGCAAAAAAAAAAAAAGAAAGAAAGAAAGAGAAAAACAGAGTTCAGAACATCAGAGTAACACAGTGTAAAAGACAAAGATTAATCCTTTTGCGCAATTTTCCCAAGAGCCTTACCAGTTTGGCTCGAACTCGAGGTAGTAGTTTAGCCTCTTTTTATATATTGCGTCCACAAAAGAAATTATTACTACTTCGGCGCTTTAAGCTTCAAATAAAATCGTTTATAAACTAACCCTCGGTAAGAATTTCTGTAAGTGACAACATGTCGTTTTCCCGTCGTGGACCAGGCTCCGCCAGTAGTTTCCGCAAGATGTTTTTGAGCCCATGCGCAGCCGCAGCAGCATACGCGTTTCCAAACCCCCGCAATCCTGGGCTAAAAGAACACGTGTTAACGCTGACATAGGGATCTGCAGCTTTCCTCAGGAGCATGGAGACGACTTCGTAATTACCTGGGGCGGATGAAGCTACTATTAAACTCGGGTGATTAGAGAAAACCAAAGCAATCCTCCTAACAACAACACGAACAAATGAATAAACCTCCAAAATTGCACCTGAAATTGGTGTTATTCGTATATACTGAAAGTTTTACGTCAATAACCTCCCAACTTACAATATTGCTCTAACCTAAGCTTGCAAACGTCTGAAATTCTTCCAGCTGGAAATTATACTTATCCTGCTTAGGGATGAAGTGATTACATCAAACTTTGTAAGATTACCAAAGAAAGAGAGCTAATCACATTATTTTAAAAATGAAATAAATTTCATTTAACCTGCGGGTGAAAGTCAAGCTAAGAAATGATCCTCGCAGGGAGACTGTAATTTTCAACAATTTCAAAAAAGACGTTTCGGTGTCATCATGACGCCATTGTCAAGGAGAAATAAAAAATGAAGCAACAGCAACTACCTTCTTGCATACCCTCAACAGCGCCCACACTTCGGTCAAATTCACCATGGAGGTGGAGAAGAACAGCAAGCTTCCTTTCCTTGGCACCGAACTACTCAACCATGCACCTCGGATTGAAACCAAGGTATATGTGAAACCAACAAACACGGGCCTACTATTACACTACCAAAGCCATGTAGACAATCGCTACAAACGGAGCTTGCTGAAAACTATGCTGGATCGCGCACACCGATTATCTTCCTCCTGGGCCCATTTCTCTGATGAGTGTGATCGCCTAAAGAAAGTTTTCGCACGGCTTAAATACCCGGGGCGCCTGGTAAATTCTACCATTAACACCTTCTTACAATCAAGAATTGTTGGTACGCAGCCCACACAGACGCCCAAAGAACCAATATCCATTGTTCGTGTGGTCATACCTTTCAAAGATCAAGAATCAGCAAATTATGTTAAGAAAGAGCTCAAGAATCTTAGCATGAAGGTGCAGACAACTGTCCAGCCAGTATTTGTTAGCCGCAAAGTAAGCCAAGATCTTAAAGTACGAGAAATCAAGCCACAGATTGTCAACCAACAACGCGTCGTTTATCAATTTCAATGTGACCTGTGTGATGCGGGTTATGTGGGCTATACACGCGGACACTTACACACACGCGTGGATGGACATAAACGAAAGGCATCTTCAATATATAAACACTACCACGAACAGCACAGCGAAGTCCCGAAAGACCTACTGAAACGTTTTAGCATTCTGAAAAAGTGTAGTAACAAGTTCGATTGTTTGGTGAACGAAATGCTTTTCATCAGAGACTTAAAACCCACTCTGAACGTGCAAAGCGATTCAATTCGCGCAAAAGTATTTGTTTAATTAGCTCGTAACATATTTATGCTAATTTAATGTTACACTTTGCCACAAACTTCATTTTTTATTTCTCCTTGACAATGGCGTCATGATGACACCGAAACGTCGGTTTTTATCGTTAGTTTTTGCTAGTCTTTGCATTTCTAAATCCTTATTGATTTCAAAAAAGAAGCCTGAAAAAATTCAAAACTCGAAAACAAAAATTCGAAACCTGCATATTTTCAAGCTTCTTTTCTGCAATTTCTTAGGCTTGCAGTCCACCTGCGACGGTCTTTGCTTTGCTTCTAAGAGGGCTTTATTGCTTTCTGGTTTAGATTTTCTGTGTAGTTCAATTATCAACCACCATTCTAGTGAAGGATCGTCTCTAAAATTGATAAGTTAATCAAAGCCATAGATTTAATCAGGAATTAAAATAACAATTTTCTATGCCTTAGAAAATTAACTCATTGACCTCTAAGAGTGATTATCATGTAATTTCTCCTTATAATATCATCCAGAATCACACATTAACGTCACAAGAATAAAGGAACTGATCACCGACTAAAGAAGCTCTTGACTGTTCAAGAAATTCTCCTTGTCAGCACCTTAAAGTATATATAAAAACAATGTGGAGAATATGCATACTGATGTTACGTGTAAAGTGTTAGGACCGAAAAAAAATAGATCGGAGAGGAACAAGTATTGGCAGGATTTCAGGAAGTTACATCAATCAGACGCAGACACACTCACCCGCGGATTATCATACAAGAAATATTTGGAATACGTCAGAGATCAATACGCACGTGACATGACGTCAGATACGTTACCTGTTGCGGCAGCCAACTGTAATGGAGTCTCCACTTGGTTTTCTTTCCCATGATTCATAGCTCCGTTTGGATTTGCTCCAGCGTCTAACAATAGCTGTTGATGATTAAGGGATAATGTTTTGTCTTGATTTCAGAGGCGGAATAAAAAAGTGGGTGACAGACTTGAGAGTCCGGCCCAAAGAAAACTTGGGCCGGGTTGCTCAAAAACACGATTGACCTAACACGGGATTAGTGTAAATTTTCAATTGGGTTTAATAGCTTTGCAAATAGGAGATTTTTATTATTTATTTTTTCCTGTTAATATCAAGTCATATTGAGATAAACCCCAACAAACCCGTAGCTCTTAAACGCGCTTATCTTCTAAAAATTAGAGCCAAGGTTCACTTCTAATCCTCGATTAATGTTAACCCTCTTTCGAACAACCCGGCCTTGGAGGAGAACAGTAGAAAGGGAAAAAAATGACAGAGGCTAGACATGGGGGCAGCTTGACCGACCGGCAACCGACAGAAATCAATGGCACTTTCTGGCTAAGGCCGTATGCGCATGGGCACACGAAAAGGACCAACAGACTTTATCAACTGCCAAAACTGATCTGGGAGCGAGAAAACTAAAAAAAGAAAAAAAAACAATGCGAGGTAAAAGAGGGAGAGGAATTCGAATGTAACCTCATCTTTCTCTCTGGGACCAACATTGTGGACAGATTTGATACAATTAGGTAAGTTGCAGAAATGATAGGAGGCAAAACTATGTTTTAATAATGCGACATTTAGTTCGGCTGTCAAAGATATTTCGGGAAAGTGCATCAAAATTTCAGTGATATAAGTTTTAAGAGATTTCGCCCAGCCATAGGCTTAGCTTCCAAGGGGCTTTATTTTCTTGGAATAACATTTAATTGTACATGTAAACCCTCATTATTCCTTGACCGCGGTAAAACTTGCAAGGCTCCTGATGGGGGGAGGGGGGGGGAGGGGGGGAAAGGGAGGGGAGGGGTTAAAGCCCAAAGCCCAAAGCCCAAAGCCCAAAGCCCAAAGCCCAAAGCCCAAAGCCCAAAGCCCAAAGCCCAAAGCCCTTCCTCCCTAACTCCCTTCACCTCCTCGCATTTTTACAACATTAGTGATATTTCTCCTTCCATGACATGTACATCTTACCTGACACACGTTCACGTGACCTTTCATGGCCGCAAAAGACAGTGCGGTCCAGGAGATGAGCTCCAAGTTTAGGAGTGGATAGATTTGTTTGTTGTTTGGAACCTTGGAAAGGGGAAAAGATATAGATTATAGATTTATACATGTTGCTTACAAAACGCCCAAATTTTTAGCCCGCCCTCGTGTGGCGTGATATCACCTCATTAACGTTGTCTGTAACCTTGACCCTTCAACCCCTGAATAATTTCTCCTTACAATATCACCCCTAAAATAACACATTAAGGTCATGAGAATAAAGGAAATGATCAACTTAAGAAGTTCTTGATTGTTAAACCAGTTCTCCGTAACAGTATCTTAGAAGATGTCTAGAGAACAATATGGAGAATATGCATAATGATTTAAGGGTGCAGAGGGCTAATGATCATGTTTATCGACCAATAGCGCTTGAGAGTTGCCGCAGTTATTCTTAAAAATATTATTTTAATGACTACTTCACACAAAACCGTAACTTAACTGGGACATGTCTGGCACAGGACACTTTGAATTTCAATGGTCCAATCCCTCGAACACTGTCTTCTATTCAATTTCAACACCATGAAAAAAGCGTCTTGTTTCATAAGCCATCGAAAAAGAAGAAACAAATCTTAAGCAAATATTCAGCAAGTCCCACCTGGGTGTCTAGTAACGCGTGGCACTCTATCAGCCTCTTGACAAGAGCCTCGTTACCATAAGCGCATGCGTACATCAGCGGCGTCATTCCCTAGTGAGATCAAAATTGCACAGTTACAAAGCATCGTGGTTCCATTGAATCGTTCAGTAATAAGTTGAGTGTTGTGAAGCCAGACCCAAAGTGCTCACAACCAACTATAGAGGCAAGCGCAAGGGATGATGTCTTAAAAAAGAAACCCATAAAAACTCGAAGTGAAACCACGCGTGAAAGTGTTAGCAATCAGGTCGCAATCGGTTTAAGCTTTGCCTCTGATTGGCTGAGCTGGTGTTGCAGGTTTCGACCAATCATGGGGCGTAGGAAAGCAAAACTAGAGAAATTCCGGATTGCTTTCGAATTTGTCAGGAACGTTACGCTATTCAAAGATTAAGGATGTGATGTGGCATTCCTCTTTTGCTTTCGCCTAACACGGAATATGAATTTTAAAGATGCATGTCATATGCGAGCTTATAGCCGAAGAAATAAGAAAGAATAATTATTCGCCCATGGCACGTACCTGTAGATTGATAGTGTTGGCTTTCTCAGGTCCTAACATTACAAGAGCCTGCGGTATTACGTCGACTCTTCCGCTTAAGAGCAGGCGCAAGCCCAGGTCTTGCTGAAAGCTAACAGCTGCGGTTGTGGGGGACAGGGAACTAGAGACGGTCAACGAATCTGTGGGGCTTAGCAATCAAATATGATCAGATAAAACTTCCTATTAGCCAGCCAAATGGTTACTTAATTGTGAATATCAGTGAAGAGGTGGAGCATGAAATAAAATTAAATAGCCGGTGAGATGGGAATGTATTAAAATGCTTTACAAATATTACAAGCCTGGACGTTGTCCTAAATTAGAGAAATAGTACTAAGCGTGTATCGTTTGGCCCAAAAGTAGCAGTACAAAGCAAAATACACGATACATCTGTCATTAAATTAGAAGATGACCAATTTTTGAGTTATCTTTTTTTATTAAAAAAATAACATCTACGTTAGCGTACAGAAAGTGGTGGGTTGCTCACGCCAATCAAATCGTTAGGGTATGTATCTCGCACAAATCAGAGCGTCGTTTTTGTTCTTTGGTTTGAGAGGTGTTCAAATTTCAACCAAGTAATGGGGGGGATTCGGAGAGAGAGGTTCGTAAATTGGAATCATCTTTTAGAACGAGAAATGTTGGCTTTTATGTGTTTTTATCGAGTGTTTTACCGCATTTTACGAGAAATGCGACACCACTGGACAGATGAAAGATATCAGGTTACCTATAGTAAACGTGTTACTCATGCTGTGAAAATGGTGGATAGTTGTGCGAGAGAAAATGGAGTTCTGTGCACTGTAGCGCGATCATGGTTATTGTTCCTTCACGACGAGAGTGAGTGAAAAATTTTTGAATCAAATATTGCTTGAGGTGTTGATGAGTTGCACCAAACATTTTGATTTGAGCAGTTCTTAACGGCAAGCTGTGTTGCAAGATTCATGATTTGTGGAGTGTGCCGATTATATTTTTCTGGATTGGTTTGCTCGGTGCTATCTCTAGATGAATGTCTGATTAAAATTAACTATGGACGATTTTGTATATGTTTTCGATGCCTAGAGAAAGTGATCTGGTGGAGTCGTTTCAGATACCATCGTTAGCATGTTTATTTGATTTTGTTATCTGGAATGAATGATTTACGGAGGTAAGTTAATATGATGTGATCTACTAACGTCGGAAATATATCAAGTCGAAGGAACAGTTTTGGTCTCCGTCCGCATTTTTGTAAACAAAATAAACACATACCGCTTAAAAAGATGATAACACGGACCACGTGCAAAGTTTTCAATTGTTTCTCTAATGTTGCGCGGGTTAAATATTCACAAAAATACCTGTGTGTGAGTTAATTCGACATTTTCGTTATTTCCGAGTTAACACTCTTCTTTCCTTTTGTAAGAAGTTAGACATAACTCACAATGTTTCAAGTAATCCACCCACCCCCAAAAAAAATAACTCTTGCATGCATAGCATGCCTATGTTTAATCAAGGATCAACATATTTGTTCCAGTTCAAATCGGCATATTAATCATAATTAGCGATTGTCTTTCATCACGTTTCATCATATTTTCAGCGTTTTTATCATATTTTCTCTGTTTCCCTTAAAATTTATTCACTGTAAAGTCAAGACATGAAAATACTTTGGAGTCACCTAAAATGGAGTCGTTCCTAGCTTTTAACTTTCCCCTTTTAAGAGTGACGTCAGGAAATTATTCAAAATTATCCTTTGCTCGTCCCTTTTACCTAATTCCTTTGACCAAAATCGTGTAAATCGCGATCATTTTCTTGATGCTAAAATTGCTTTGAAATTGGTAAAAGAAGGAAAAAAAATTAAGAAGAGGGAATGTACCACAAAGCTCGAGGCTCACAGTCGTTAAAGGGCAGTAGCAATCTGGCTGCCTGTCTGACGTCATCGTCATCGACGATACTGCACCCACGGTGTTCGACGTGCAGGCTCGCTACTCTCAGCCACTCTACCAGCGGAGGAAGCTGGGAATGTGCACTGCAAACAGAAGATGGTACACCTGTTGGTAATTTAGAGGTCAGTAAGCCAGTCTTTAATTCTGCTCTCTGTCTGTTTGCCTGTCTGATCGACCTAGTACTCGTACATGCGGAAGTCAGTGAGTCTGTCAGTCATTCCGTTAGTCAGTCTATAAGTCAGCTGGTAACTCAGCTCGTCAGTCAGTCAGTCAGTCAGTCAGCAATCAGTCAGCAAGTCACTCAATCAATCACTAAGTCTGCAGGTGGTCAGCCAGTCAGTCCGTTAGCCAGTTAGGACGTCAATAGGTCAGTCATGCAGTCTGTCCGTCAGTCAGCTGGCGAATACGTCAATCAGTCGATTTGGCGTTCCATCAGACAGTCAATCGACCATTCATTCGCTGGTCGATCAGCACGTCACTCATTGCCAGATATCAGTCATTCAGTCAGTTAAACTCTGGGATAGACCTACCGTCTCGTAGCTGCCAAAATGTCCGAAATGTCCTCATCAATTTGATGGGAGCACTTCATGAAATAAGACAAAGTGTGCAGTGCATTGGTTGCCCAGTCCACTTGAGACATAAATTTGTTATCTTTGCTTTGGTACGCATCTGAGAAACGCTGTCGAGCCTGGTGTACCAGCTCAGTCAATTCAGCCACAGATGTGACACAGGCAGTCGTCATGCATTTGTCCAATCCCCTCCGCCTTGGTGAACCTGTTTTCGGGCTGCTTATAGCTGAGACAAAAAAATAAACACCCATGAAAGTTTAACGGTAGCAAACTCCTCTGACGGAAATCTGAAAAAGTCACAAGGGTTTGTGCTTACGGCAGGAAAAAATTAAACTGATAATGCTAGCTCCTGTAATAGATACAGTAAGCATAAGCAAGTACCTTTCTTTGGCGCAGCGTACATCTCGATAGAGTCGGTGATACCAAATGCTGTTCTACCGGAGAGCAGATGATAATATGGCTGGAAAATTCCCCATAAATCACCATCAGTATTGATCCACTCCTCGAGTACTTCGGGAGTCACTTGGTCAATACCCTCTGAAACAATAGTGATCAATTATTAGAATAAGTTACAATCCCTAATCCTTAATTCATGGCCTATAATATGAATGTTTTTTCAGGTGCAGTCTTTGTGCTTCAATTTCATCCTGCAATAACAGGTTCTTTGAAAGAATATTAAAGGATCATTTATACGTAAATCTATGCACACCCCATGTGTAAAAGTTACGTAAAATGCCAAATTCGTTGAGCAGTCTGCACAAATAATATTGAAGCCAGACTTCCATTGAATGATCTTTGTAAGCCCGTAATCTTTGCAGCCCGTCAAGGTAGATAAAGATTATTCATGATTTGAACGCTTCATTATTACCGGCAGAAAGTCAATACAAATTTTCAGTCCAACCTCAGTAAATCATACATCACATTCCTTTTTGCTCAAGGGTAACAAAAGAGAGAAATATCTAAGCTCTCTTGCTAATCAGATTAACTGTTTCCCTAAAAGAAACCTAAATCAATTGAACAGGTCTAAGTTAATAAGAGCTAGCTTGGGGGTTGACCACAAAATTTATACATAGCCGCTTTGGAATAAACTGCCATGGTATCTTTTCTGTTTTGTACCTTAATTAAGTGTAAATAACCCAGTATTCTTAAACAAAACCTTTAGATCTATAAAAGATTCTATCATTTGAAAAATATATCAATGACGTTTTATTTCTCTTTCGACTAAACCTTCTCCCCTTTTTTAGTAGACGCATAAAACATGTTTCCATGCACGACAAGCTGTATATCAGCTACGCTCCATTGAACAACTGCACTACAAAGAAAAAGCAGTCTTAAAAAGAGGTTGAGGATTTTGTAACGCATGTGGTTAGAAATCTGATCGTGTGTGCTGTCCACACGAGAATATACATGACTCATAGATTAAGAAATAATCTCGGGTGAGATTTGCGACAAAATCGAACTTTTCGCTTTTTAACACACATCGCACCTAAGATCGATTTTTTTTCCCTAGTAAAGCATTACATTATCAGAAATAGACCCCACTGGGAGCCAGGCAGAATTATCTCCATGAGATGGAGTAGGTGAAGCGCTTCTCGAGATAATTTTCGCATTTTTAACGATAAAAAAATGCTACTTTGGAGATTCTGACTGATATTGTAGTTATTGGTTTTCAAACCCGTGCTCCCTGGGAGTAGTTCTGTTCTGTTCGTTTTGTTCACGACTGGAAGTGACCGTGATGGCATTAAAATTTAAATTTACAAACACAAACGGTCAAGGCGGACGTGGTCAAAGTTTACCATCAAAAGCAGCATGGGTAAACATAATTACCATTTCTACTGTATATTAGCATGATTAATGAGCAGATAACAAAGATTACCCAGATTGTTGACAGCTCTATAGACAAGCTCTTCAGCGATGTATTCTAACGTAGCGCTCAGGTAAATTGCTGCCGCGTCATAGATACGAGCGGCTACTTTCATGTTGACCAGCCAGCGAAACATCTTACCCACTGGAAGAATCAAACCGCAGCGGGTTCTTTTAGACCGACGAAATCTATCGCTGGACATAGAATACAAAGAAAATGCTTTGGACGCAAGTGTCACACACGTCCTAGCCATGGACAGTGAAAGAACCAAGCGAATACTAGTTTGGATCTCGTGCTTAGAACATTTCGAATACCGCACGGAAAGTCGTTTCGCTTCCCGCACGATTCGCAGCAGAGGTCGCTGTAATAGAAACGACACGCGTTCTACAGCTTGTGGAGAAATGGCGCGAAAATGTTCCCGCGTTCTACCGAGGCGAAGAACTTTTGAAATGTCTTGTAGTGTCCATGGAAATTCGTCCAATTGAGGTAGCATAGGCAGCCACACGTCCCAATCGTTCTCTAACTGAGCCACTAGTCCACCATTTCTTGGTGACTTGCTATTTTCTGCTGTCCCTGGGATGAGAAAATGAGAATTCGCCGGTAAATACCACTGCTCCATGGCAAAGAGGTTGGAAGCTACCTTAATTTAACTTTGTCATCCCTTCACGTTTGCATGCAAGCACCACATCCAAATGATTAAGACTAGAAAGGACTTAGCTAATTAAACTGTAAACAGGTAAACGTCTAAACGAATCAAAAACAGGTGAAATTTGATTGACACAATTCTGTGATACTATTGGTATATCTTATTGTGGTGCCAGTAAATAAGGCAACAATCGCAAAAGAAACATTTAAGCCGCGGAGACAATAGTTTGTTTTCATTGCCAGTTAACTTACCTTGGAAAAATGCTTTTTGACATGTATAGAATCACACCGGCGTCATGAAATGTTTCGGAGAGAGACCTTTTCAAGGAAAGCTTGGTCACACTTTCCATCGACATTACCAAGAAAAAATCTCCAGGCAAAAAAGGTGTAGGAAAACTGATCACGTGATCATTTGCCGTCAGCCGGGTTTTCGTAGACCTTTCCTAACGGGCATAGAACAGCCCATTCGCCCTTTTCCCAGCCAATGACGTAAACTCTCAGATTGGCCAATTGACTTAGACATTTGAAATCGCCAAAGCCTGCTCTTGTTACATATTTTAGAGCCACCAAATTCCAATCGAAAAACCTTATCTTTACGGTTATCTCCGCCTGTGGACTTTCATTCGAAAACCGCTTGAAACACATTCCAATAATTGTGGCCTCTTCCAAGCTCCCCCACCACTTCGTGTGGAGAGTGAAGCACATCAGGATTGATGTTAGTGAGTTTAAAGTTGCAGTGTGATTTTCCACACGTATTCGCGTCATACTTGAACAATCTTTCCTTCCTTTTTGCATATCTTGGGTTAATTCTTGCATAAAGTAAGGCACCCTCATGATTGAACCCGAAACCAGCAATCCAGACTGACGTGCATGAACGAAATCAGGCTTATGTCAACTCCTTTTCGTAAATAGCAACCACCCACAAGTTTATGATGTGAGGTTGACTTGTCAATCTCGAGCAGTTTTTACAACCCTTCCTTAGCACCTTCTCTGTAATTTGTACGAAAAGCATGTGTCGCACTCGAATGCTTTCTAATGAAAAATAAAAGCAAGGAGTGTATGACCACAAATTATCAAACTCAAGTTTCTATTTCAAGTGCTGATTGATTGTTTTTCCGTGTTTTTTTTTTTTTGGTTTCCAAAGAGCACCACGCAGTTATTTTTAGCAGTTGGCCAGAAGTCACGAGGATCAACTTCGTAAATATGAAACACGGGGGTTCTTTGAAATAGCCTACCGAAAGCTGTTGGACTGCATTTAAAACAGCAACGAAAATGATTTTATTTCAAAAGGTGTCAAGGGATCACATAGATAATCACTTTGTCACAACTGTCTATTTTGAATGACCTCCTTTATTTTGAGGCCATAACGCCTCTTAGTAGCGACTTTCCCTCCCTTCACTGTCGTGCGGTCAACTGATAACAACAAATACACACCATACCCAGCACGAAGGCGATTGATGATTCATAAGCGCTTTATTAACGCGATGAAGCATGTAAATGTTTCATAATCTCGTCCAATGTTACAAATGAAACTTAACGTGGTCTAGACAAACATAAGTGATCACATGTCCAGCTATAGTTTTTAATTCAAGTTCACGTGACATCGCGTGATTTGACGAGATTTTAGCGAGCTCAAATATCAACCGATATCTTATCTTTTTCAAAACAACCAATGATTTAAGCAGGATTACATGCTTAACGCCAATGAATACGGTAGTAGTTTCCGGTCGCCGGCCGCGTTTCATTCGCATATCGCTTCTTGGCATTAGTATTTCATGCAAATTCAACGCACTGCACTGAAGTGATTTTCATTGTGTTCGTGACCCATATTAGCATATTGATCCCGGTTGGGTAGAAATACGGCCGACCGTTGGTTCCTCTGAACAATCGCTCAGTACTGTACTATAATTGCAGCAAGCTTACACCGCTAACCATTTGCAGCTGGAATCAGAGCCATGGCTGAAGGAAACGATAAGTTTAGCGTTGTCGACTATGTTGTTTTCTCTATCATGTTGCTTATCTCGGCGCTGATCGGGATTTGGTATGGCTGCGGACCGGGCGGAAGGCAAAAAACAACAGCTGAATATCTTCTAGCGAACCGTAAAATGGGTGCTTTGCCTGTGGCAATTTCTCTTCTGGTTTCATACCTCTCAGCTATCACTTTGCTTGGAGTTCCATCGGAGATTTACACCTACGGAGCTCAGTATTATGTGCTGATTCTATCCTACCCCATCATCTGTGGTACCATGGCCATTATATTTGTACCCATGTTCAGACGTGTGAAGATAACATGCGCTAATGAGGTAGGATTTCGCTTTTCCACCGATTCAGTTGCATAACCCAAGTATTATTTTCATTCCATAATCGAGAGAAGCCTTTTGTCCAAAATTTGCGCCCATTTTTCGCCTTTTTGTATTTATTAACGACCTCTTAATATTGAGCTTAGGGTTAGGCTTGCGATGTTCTTTTGTTTACCCTCACGGGCGGCCGGCAAAGCCGGGGGGGGAGCCCGAAACCAGGATGTCCACGACAACGGGAGGCAGATCGAATGTGCCGATACACGACCTAACTGTACTTACTTCAGATAAATTGTCTTATCTCTCTCCGCCATTACTAAATTTAACTACAAATCTCGTGGGAAATCCATCCAATTACATCTTGCAACGAGTTACAATTGTATTTTTTCTGTTCAATAAATAAATTAAAATCGGCCACAGATGGCTGAACCCGATAACTCTTGTTGAGCTCGTCACGCGTGAGAGACTTTGTCACATTTTTTTCCGCCTTCGATTTGGAAAGCATCAGGGAGAAGGCAAATGTCAGTAATTACACATACAATAATTAATAGAGGTTCCTTTTAGGACCAAAGATTGCACAACTTCCCTAAATACGACAAACCTCAACGGCATTTGTTATTCGATGAGTTGAAGGCATATAACAAGAAATTATTCAGCTTTAAAAAATACAAATAAACAAAACAACGAAACTTAATGAAAATGCAATGATGAACCAAGAAAAATCAAAGCTGCTCAGGGATGTTGAAATACAAGCAAATCACGAAGAAGGACAAGTGTTCAGTCGAGCGTGACTCTGCAGGACTTGAAGCGGTAAATTTAGACCTAGCACACTCCCCAGCTTCAAACCCCCCCCCCCCCCCCTCCCCCTCTCCAGCCATCCGTCTGGAACTTCACTTTCGAGAACCGGTTCTGTGTATAATGGAAAGAAACCTTTGTTCTTTCTGGGCGCATATTGTCACGTGTTTATCTTGTTCACTTTTTTTTTTCTCATTCACCGAGCTTAAAGGAGGGCGAAAGAGGCGTCCAAGCGAAAACACACGGAATGTTTTCTGTTGTCTGCTTCAGCCTTGGTGACTAAAAGGCTTTCTTTCGGTCTGTTCTAACAAGTACCCTTTTCTTTTAGTATTTGGAACGGCGCTTCTCTGTAGGAGTTCGAATGGTTGGTTGCTTGTTTTTCATTCTGGAATACGTAAGTAACAATATATCACTTCCTCATAAATAACTTTGATATAGATAGCGAGAAAAATATTGTATGTTTTTGTAGGCCAAATGTAAACAATTTGGATTAAAATCTTATCATTCGAATTTTACAGAGGATATTACTTCCTGTACATGAAAACAAAAGTACTGCATACGAATAAAAATTTAATAATGACTGTTTCCTCTTAGTTTTAGCAAGGAAATGACGGTTTCTATGGAATAATTTTTCTGAGAAACAATATTGGACGCTATGCTTGGAAAATATAGACATATATTTATATCTTACAAGACATAAAAATTAAATTAAAAAAAAAAACCTTTATCTCCAGGTCATTTTGTTATTCGAAAGTTGCTTAAACAAATACATCTGAAGGTTGACAGCATGATGTGATACTTAATTATTTCGTTTTTACTGATAGATCATGAAATTAAGTGTATCATTGGGGCTGGGGGGGGGGGGGGTCATTCCATTTCATGCATGAATCTTAGAAAAATAGACGTGTTCTTTAAACAGTATTTCACGAACCACGAATTCAAAAGGGAAAACTTCAAATCTCAACTTAATTTGCGTTTTTGTGAAATTCACGCATCACGTATGAATTTTAGGCTCAATCATCTATGGCACCCCCATAGTCTATAATAAAGAATGTGAACTTGGAAAATATATTCATCAAAAAGCAAGTATAAGGTTATCCTATCACAAAATTCTTCATACAATGTGCCAACTGTTTTATTTTGCAGACCCTGTATTTGTTTGTTGTTCTGTATGCACCTTCCCTTGCATTGGAGGCTGGTAAGATATAAGACAACTGTAAACTCTCAGAGCTGAATAACATGTGACATATCATATTAATATTATTGTATTATCCAGCAAAACAGGTGATGAGAACTCATACATGCATCAGCATGGATATCACACCAAAATCTAATAACTATGTATGCATCTCACTTACTTTCATTGGAGAATCACCTATCGGATCTTGGAATGTGCTGAAGGCTCAAACTGAATCATTTGTTTTGGAGACCACCATTGAACAGAACCTTTCACCATGAAAGCCACCATGCTATTTTAATTTTTTTTTTTCATTTTCTTTTTTTATCACTAATGACTTAAGAAATTTAAATTTGATTTTTTATTCTCAGTTGCTGGAATTCCACTCTCTGCATCCATTCTCACGACTGGAATTGTGTGCACATTCTATACCAGCCTGGTAAGTAACCCAAATCACATGAAGATGATTTATATAAGGTTATCAAAACCAAAAACTGTACTTTTCAACCCTTTACAGCTTACCATCAGTATGCATATTCTCCATACTGTTCTCTATACATTTCCTCAGGAGTTAACGAGGAGAATTTGTTTAAGAATCAAGAGCTTTTAGGTTGATGATCATTTCCTTTATTTTTATGACCTTAATGTGTAATGGGAAACATTGTAAACAGAAATTAGATGCTGGTTACTCTTACGGGTCCAAGAGTACACTCCCCTCACCGATACAAACACATGACAACAGCTGTTGATAGCTAGTTAATTTGTGTGATCAAATTTAGTTGTATGAGAGTGCTTCACAATTCTTTTGTGCATCCTGATGTGCATCCATTGAAGCATAGCAGACAGAATTTCTATTTATAAATCAATTAAATTGCTGTATTAAAAAATGTCTTCCAACAGTTCATGATTCATGCAGCAGCTTTGTGCTCATTAAAACATGAAATACTTTGGAATTTTCAAACGCATTCAAGAAGCCTGAATTGCTCCCTCTTAACTTTACATTTTCTTTATATCTCCATAAACACACCTTGACACATACCTGAACCAACTATTCACCATTGTTGAGTTCTTAAATATTCTGGTTTCAGGGAGGCCTCAAGGCTGTGATTTGGACTGATGTTTTTCAGTCCATGATTATGGTTGGAGGTCTTATCACTGTGGTGATAGTGGGAAGCAATGAGGTTGGAGGTTTTAATGAAGTATGGAAAATCAACAAAGATTTTGACCGTCTTAACTTCTTTGAGTAAGTAAGACAATCATATCTATTATATCGCTAACAGGGCCTTTGGGCCAGATGAAGCTCATCCTGTGTTCTATGCCTTCTGAAAAAACTCCACTTTAACCCCACTGAGGAAACTATTGCATGGAGCAGGCTTACAAAGATTGTAACTTTTGGCAATGTCATCACAAAAGACAGCAGACGTGCACCTTCACAGTTGACAATATTTCCCAGTGCTTAAAATTAAATATATCATTCTTGATTCGTGTCAAAGCAAAATCTTAAAGCTATATAACAAATCCTTAACTGACCAATCTTTTTCAGTCAGAATGGCTAGATATTTGCCTTTTTTTTAAAGTTGTAATAGTGGTCAATGTGTATCATAGTAACATTAACAACAATCTATTCTTGACTGTGGATATATGCCAGGATATCAGATATCTCCCTCTCAACATTATTTTTTACCACCAGTACCCATTAACAATACTTGACCATCATTTTATACCAAATTGTAAACAATATCTCTGGTCCTCTAAAATTTGGAAACTTACATCATGTTGTATTGAGAGGAGAGCTATACCAACATGAAAAATTTTACTTGATAAATAAGAATTGTACCTGATGTTCATATGATATGTGGTTCTATCCATCAGCTTCAACCCAGATCCCAAGGTTCGCAACACTTTTTGGACACTGACAATTGGTGGGGCATTTACCGCCATGCCAGTTTGGACAGTCAGTCAGACAGCGGTACAGCGCTTTCTGGCCATCAAGTCATTCAAGCTTGCTAAAAGGTACAAAAACATGTGTGATTCAATTTCCATACAAAGCTTTGGAACACTTGTTGATAGACTGTCAAAAAAAAAAAAAAACCCACATATAAAGAAGCAATTATCCAGCAACAGAATGAATTCAAAATAAAAATCATCAAACTGCCTAAAATACAGGAAATAGGAGTCACAAGTCTTAACCCTTTCATTCCCAGATCATATTAGTAATTCTCCTTACTGTCTGCCATACAATTCTTATAATGTTAGTTCAGAGAACTTGGTATTGGATCAACTTATTTTCCCCAAATTGATATTTTTCATTATTCTCATCACTTGTCTTGTTGATACTGTACTGATATTGTAAGGAGAAATTCTGTCTTGGTCACTCATGGGATGAAAGGGTTAAATGGTTCCAACTAGTTTTGTATCTGATTGGTTAAGATGTGGCACAAGTCTTCATAACTTACAGTAATACAGAGTGTGGCAGAAAAAAAAAACAACAATAATTGACTGTAGACTTCCATTAACTTTTCCTTGAAAACTACTCAAATAACATTTGAATGATGACCAGAATAACTCAAACAAAACTTCTCAGCAGTCTACCGCATCAAATTTAAACCTGTTATTGTGTTTCTCAAAGTGGCCCAAGCAAACGTCCACTTGTGGGAGTTAAAAAGGAGGTACCTTCCAGGAATTTAATATAGTTTGTGGATGACGAACAACTTTCAAAGCAGCAAGATCTAGATCTGAAATACAAGTAGTTCATACTGTTTTCGACAGCACTATTACATACAAATATTGAGTTCCATATTATTTTGGTGAGGAAAACGACTTTATTTGGTTGCCGATGGCATTGAACCGCGAAAAATTTGTAGAAAATAACGAGAAAAACTCCAAACAGTACGCATCTTCACATGCAGGTCTCCGTTGATTATTATTGGAAAAGTCTGGCCAGGCCTGGCTATAAAAAGTTTGTACCTAGAATCCAAAGAATATAAACTATACTCTCTCTACAGCCTACCTTCCGCTATCAAGCTTAACTTTTTAGAAGAAGTCCCCACCTCGCTCTGTTAGGTTCTTAGTATAGACTCTCACGCTCAATTAATCTCTTAGTTCTTCCATTTTGCATTTCGACGAAAGGCACGTGACAGCTGACACGCGACTGTCACGTACTTGTCATTTGACATGAGGGAGATCAATTCTTTTTCTGGAAAACAAATGAAATTGAAGAATTAAAAATGAGGAAAAACGCTTGCTAATTCGCAAGAGATTCTAATATAATTTTCTTGTCATCATTCTTTGGTGTTAATTGATTAACAAGTTCATCAACAGGCTTAAATGAAATGCAGCTCCTCTTCGATAGGTATAACAAAAATAAGGATTAAAAATTGTTTGTTTAGAGCAATTTTTCATTTAGAGACGAAAGTAATCCAAGATTTCCTTCGTTTGCTTCACTTTGCTTTGTGATTGGTCTAGAAAAAAAAGCGCCACTCTCTCAACCAATCAGATGCAAAACTAACATCATCCAAGACTTGGTCGCCTGCGTTTTCCCGCGCTTTAGGCGGCGTGCTTGTTCTTTCTTTGAGTTCTTATTGGCTCCTCAGGGTATTTCCTTTCTTTTGATTGGCCGTTGGGTTTGGGTTTTCACAACGCTCAATCGAAAAGCGTTCTAATTCGTTTCATCTATCCTTTCAGCTTGTCAGTCATCTATTTATCTAACGACATATTTATTCAATCGTTTATTTATTTATGAAAATTTCTGTTTCTCTCTCCTTAGAGCGGTGTGGCTGAATGTCCCTGGACTGATCTTGATTGTGACTCTCTGTTTTTTTGACGGACTGGTTATTTTTGCCAACTATGCTTTCTGCGATTTACGAGTAGAAAAGAAAATCACAAGCAATGACCAGGTAAATTTCTCGTGTAAAAACCTTTAATATCGCTGCTTACGAATGGACATCCTCGAGTCTTTTGGTGAATAATTCCTTGATTTATTACTCGATTGATCAAAACAAGTAAAGAAATTATCCTCGCAAGTGAGCTGCTTCCATTAAAGAAATCTCAGAGAAGAACCCTGCAAAAAAGAAAAAAAATCAGAGATTCGAACCTGTGCCTCCCAAAAATAAGTTGGAATCACTTCTTTACTTGTGCCGCATCTGCAGGTCAGGAAATTATTTATTGCATTTAACTGCGATTAATTAACCTACAATTTCTCTTTAGACTCTCCCGTATTTTGTGATAAACAAGCTTGGACACTTGAAAGGGCTGCCGGGAATGTTTACAGCTGTCCTTTACGCTGGAGCTCTCAGGTATTGTTTAGATGAAATGTGAATGCATACATGATTGAGTGCGAAGCGCACTTTTCGTTGTAAGCGGAGGGCAGTATTCAAACTTCCCGGCTTTGTCTTGAGTTGTTCTCTTCCCGCGGGCCACATTACCACAGCTCGCGCGTCGCAGACTGTTTTTTTCGCTGATTTCGTTTGACGTGTGCAAAGTGATAAGTTAAGAAGATGTGGCTCTTGAAGTTTAGTGCACCAGTGGTTGTTTTAATTTATCTCGAGTGTTATACTTTTGATGAACAGCACTGCTTCCTCTGCTCTGAACGCCATGGCCCTGGTCAGCTTGGAGGATGTTGTCAAAAAGAAAGTCCCGGATATTACTGACTCTGATGCTGCCAAGCTGTGCAAGATTATTGGTCAGTCATTTACGGTGTTGTTCTCTTCATCGTTTTGAGATATGTGTAATCTACGTTTATATGCTAAGCTGAATTATATGCATGCGTTATGGTTGGTTCTTTCTAATGATCTGTTGGGGGACAGACACAAATATTATGTCACCATGAACAACATTTTGCCCTCTTATCATGTATAACAAATGGATTCCATGTTGCCGCGCGTCTCCACAGAAATTTATCACAGATGACGTCAAAATGGGGAATGAACATCAGTGACACACTCGTCTGCGCCTCGTGAGCTTCTTTTGTATTCACATTTGACATCATCTGTGATCTATTACTGAACATACGCACGAAAACATGGAATCTGTTCAGTTAATTGGAAGAGCGATTTCAGTGTTACACAGAAGTTAGACTCAAACCTTCCTTTTTTTGCAGCTCTGACATTTGGTGTGATCGTCATTGGAGGCGCTTTCGTCGTGAAGTATGTTGGAACTATGGTTTTGCAGGTATGTTTTTGTATTACGGTGTCTTCAATTGCCGAATTCTTTTTAATAGCCGGTACTATGCAAGGCTCTCTCTTTGACAACTGCAATCAGCGTTTGTTACTCGCCGATTATCTAATCTTTCGGTCAGTGACAGAGGTCTCGGACCTGGCCATCTGTTCACTGACTCAACATAGATCGAGAGTCTCTTGCGAAAATCTCTATGTAAACTCCAATTTATGTTCAACTGTCCTTGCTATTTCAATCTAGTTGGCTTACAGCATCTTCGGAATCTGTGGTGGTCCATTGCTAGGAATATTTCTCCTTGGAATGTTTGTTCCACGCGCAAACTCAAAGGTATGCTGACACACTGTCTCTTAGGACATAAGCATGATTACGTAACAATACCAGCGAGTGTTGCAAGCTTGCCCTGTGTAATTGAGGAATATTCAATTTAGTATCCAAAATATGCGGAATTGCTTTGTTTTTGCTTTACTTCGCTTTGTGATTGGTCTGTAAAACTCGTGCCGCTCTCACAGCCAATTAGATGGAAAAGTAAAACCAATCGCGACTTGGTAGTCTGCGTTTTTCCGCGCTGCAGGCAGTTGGTTGTTTTTACTCTAAGCTCTCATTGGCTCTTGAAAGCACTTTCCTTTCTTTTGATTGGTCGTTGCGATCACTTTGGTTTTGGTTTTACGACACTCAATAGAAAAGCGCCCAATAACAGCACTTGTTTGATTGCGCAATGCTTCAGTCTCGTGCCGCTTCAACTACGCAGCGAGTTAATTTACGCGCCGAGAGAAATTACTCGCTTTGTGAATCACACCTTGCGCACTTCGTGCGGCAAAGCATCTGGCTGAATGGGCTTTGCCAAAATAAGGGATCGTGTCAACATCTGAAGTAGACGATGTGAACCATTTCAATATCAATTGCAGGGTGCCTATTTTGGTGTGTTCACCGGAGCTGCTCTAACCACGTGGGTTTTCCTCGGATCCGTATTGTTTCCCCCTAACAAATACCCAGGTCTCCGCTCGGTTCGGGGATGTGAGTTTTATATTAATGCGTCACTTGCCAACAGCACATATCCTGATGGCTCCTACAACAACGCATCAGCCAAGATTTTGGACCAGTATGGAGATGGATTAATCAGAAACGAATTCAAAGGCCACAGGTATTCCTTAGGTGTAGAAGTTATGAAAAAAAATTGATACCTTTCAGTGACTGCCTATTTAGCATTTTCCCCCATCTTCATCGGCGATGTTCAAGGTCATTGAAAGCAATATCTGGGGAGGGGGGGAAGGGCATGGCTTTCGAACAGGCCTTCATTATTAGCGCTGCAACACGCGTATCTCTCACCACGGGAAGATTTGAGATAAGCTGAGGAGAGGTTTAACGGGGGTCTGGCTCTATCAATGATAATGACCATTGCAGACCTCTTATCGCCTAACGTTGCTAAATGCATCATACTTTGCCGCGGTAAAGGGCGTGCTCGAAAGCTAAGAGATTCTATAATCTTATTCTCCATTTTAGTAAACAAAGGAACATTTTCGAGGGGAAGGAGTGATTACTTGATGGGGAAATTGTTCTAACAGTCGCGCTAATCGATCTTGGAATCTTGCCCTAAGGGCTCTTTTAATTAAACGTTAAACATAATACATGATTAATTTTCAATGTAATATCTTGTCTGTAGATTTATGAGTAATGGTTTTTTGGTGTTTGTTTTCTTTAGTGCGGCCATCGCTGATTTCTACAGCATGTCCTATCTGTGGTTTAGTGCCCTGTCTGTTCTCACTTCCTTCACCGTTGGATGCATAATGAGCCTCATTCTTGGTGAGTTTATTTTCAAATGGCTTGATCCCCACATTATCTACTTTCTGTTACGATACAGGCCCCCAAAGAGGCCAATTAAGTCTTCCCTTTGCTACGGTACGATCAACGCAAAAAAGATTCGTTTTAATTCGTTGCCCGATTCTCGATTGAGAGTCGACATACAGTAACCCTACATTGCTTTGGTTTCTCTATTCTAAGTTGTCTCAGGCTTCTTGCGATATTTCCCTTTCTTCTGTTTGGCCAATTTGAGTACCTCGGGTTTGATTTTACGACACTCAGTCGAAGTGCGCTCAATCTGGTAGAGCGGTACGTAAAATATATCTATTAGTCTAATGATGATTCTGTATTGTATTAAAGAAACTAAAGAGGATAAGGAGAAGGAGATCGACCCTAAGCTACTGTTCCCGCTAAAGGAATGGCTGTGGTCCTTCCTTCCTGGCCATTCTTTCAAATGGGACTTCGAAGATGAGGAGGAGGAGGATGAAGTGGTGCCTATTCATGAGGATGTAAGACACTTAAACGTTTCTAGTTTACAAAATTTATAAAAATCACCCAACTGCACTAAGTAAAGTACAAACAACGTGCGAGTCGAGTGTAAATATCCTGTGATCATAGCTTAAGAATAATCTCGATTTTGGAAACGAGCACGTGGCAATTAATAGAACCAAAAGAAAGGTGAAAAAAACGAGCGATAAATTTTACTTTGAGTAACGACTACGAGCTAGATAAAATAATCACAAAACAAGTTATTGCTTACCAACGTTCGCGGGTCATGATTACTTTATCGAGGATTACAGTATAACTTGTCTTCTATTCAAAAACGATCTTGAACACGCGGGGTTTTATTTTGAACTGAAACGCTAACTATAATTTTCAGTCTAGAAAGAACTAATCACGGGGCGTCAACCTCACCAAAAAATATTTCGCAGCTTTTCTCGGGAGCGGTAACACTTAGCTTCAACGGAAGCAGTTACACAAAGATGACGCAGTCTTTGTTACTTTGCAGGAGATCAAGGTCAACTGGGATGACACTCCGCCGGTAGATTCGAAAGGCAAACAGGAAAAACTCGAAATGGGAAACTTGTACACCAATAATTTGATGGAGAATGGCAACATGTAATGACACGTAATTTGAACAACCGCATTTACAATTTCATTGCCGTTTCCAACTCCATATTTTTATAATTGCTTTTGAAGTTAAGTTAAAGCGTTTTTTGGGCTAATTACCGTCATTTACCTTTGTAAAATTGTTAGTGGTTGGAGTAAAGAAAGACGGCCTTTATGTCGATAGTAACCTTAGATAGTGTTGTGAACTGGGACAAGAAAATTAAAAAAACCATAACATTAATGTGTTCGCCTCAGAATTGAAGTATATCACCCTTGAGGTTTGGCCATTTAATTTAGACGAAAAATGGCTATTTTCTTCATTTCTCTGTGTTAGTATTTAAACTTGCTAATTCCGACGAAAAAGTTTTAAATTCAGCGAGCATTGCAGATTAGTGTGAGATGTTTTTGACTGTCATGCGTTTGGTAATCTGTTAAGACAGATCACAATTTTTTGCATTAAAAAATTAAAAGGTCCAAAGTTCTCATGTCATTTCCTAGATAAAGAATGAATTGAATTTAAATAAACAACTTTGATACGTTAATTTTTGATGTATAAAACAATTACAGAACGAGACGGAAATAGGCTACAGCAACGCAAGTCATATAAATAAAATTATATAAATTTTGTGATATTTACTCATTTTCAACGATGTTTTTCCCAGTAGAGAATTGACTTCGATGGTCTTTTATCTTGGGGGCAACAACAGAATAAACAGTACGAAATCTGTAACTTTTTTATCGTAATTCTTGCCCTTCATCAGGAACCTCATGCTCTTTTAGCTGGAGCCGATCCAAAGTCCACAAAAATTGAGGAAGGGTTTGGTCTTATGCAATCAGCAGTTGCGTTTTCGTGTTCATGCCTCGAAGACCGATCATTTCACTAAGTGTTTTTTTAATTTATTTTTAATATTTCAATTGTGCTTATCGATAAGCGTTGATATCTCTTATCTTTCGTTCCACTTGCCTTGAGAAATCATGAATGCCTTATAACAGAACAGGCCTGATGGTGAATGGCGCGGTTAGTTCACCATACTGCTGTCGTTCAAGACATACGGCAGATGCGAATTGTTTTCAAGGTCGTTGAAATTTATCGCCTCTAAGTAAAAAGCCTTAAGTAGTTTGCGAGGGCATACTTTTAATAAGATTCAATGAAAAATAGAAGGAAACAGAGGATTAAAACTAATCTGGATTGTGAATGACCAACGCAAAACTTAGACCACATGCAGTAATCAATGTAAAAACGTGACGCAGATCCCATAATAACGATTTGTTTACTTCCCGCTTTTAAAAAAGCGCTCTTGGAATGAGAGATTATCGCATCACAGTTTAAAACAAACAAATCAACACCTTTACTACATCAATAATCAACATTTCTCGGTCACGTTCAATATCAAGGGCTCGTTGTTGTGCATAGTTTTGAAACCGAATTAGCAAGAATCGAAGTATCTAGTACAAGAAAGACGTTTGAAGGATACTCATGGATGAACGTCACAGCTCTTAATGTAACGGAAAGTGTACTTATCAGGGCTTGTCGTTTTATTAGTCAGCAGCGGGAAAGCGCATTAGGAATAAGAAGTGGATCAGAGCAGATTTCTACAAATTAAAATATATGATTAGAACAAAGATCATTGCTGATCCACGATCATCAATGTCCAAAGCACTTTACTGGGGAGCTATATTTTTTAATTTCTAAGCCGGCAATGTAGACCGCAGAAATTTGAATTACAAAGCAAAGGAAATAGTTCGTGAGTTCGTGACGTTTTTATTTTCTCAATATAATTTACTTCCGGCCCTCAAAATTCTGCTGTAAACGCCCGAATCAAAGTTGCGTTACATGACTTCAAAAATGTAAAAGTTTATTACAATTATAACTCTTTGGAGGTGTGGATGGGTTTTATATGTTATGGTCAAGTTTTGACTGGCCTTCAGGCAAGCAAATTTTTTTAACTGAGTTAAACAGCAAATTCAAAAACTACACTTGTCTTAAACTTAACTGCTTAATTTTAGAAGTTTCTATTCTCTTTTAAATTTTCTTTCTAGAATAAAAATATGTAGAAACAACCAACATGCAGTTTCGTCCCGATTTCGTTCCTAGCTCAGACGTAATTTAGAGAATAAGCACTTTCAGTTTCCAATTTCGTTGATTACTCTGGTTACGAGCAAAGCATTCTAGTCGAAAGTGCTGAGTATCGCGTGATTTACAAATGACAAAATTGCAAATTACAAATTAAGCATGTTCATCATATCCGCTGACTGTGATTGGGCGTAAACAACGTCTGATGAATCAATACTGGCCAAAGGCCAAGTCGCTTGTTCTAGTTATTAGTGGGTACATGCTTAATCAGGGTGAGAAAATAGTTGCAACACATCACGAATACAATAAGCCTTATGTCATCACCATTGTAACGAAAGATATCGAATTTGTGGAAATCTATTGTTCTCGAATTCGTGCAAGTAAGAGAGTTTTCCCGCAGAGCAAAGGGTCATTCTCGATTTGATTGTTCTTGAAGTTACCAAAATTATCGACAATCTTTCACGTTTTGCGCTCGAGAGTGTTTTTATTGCGTGGGTTTTGAAAAATTCTTCCCGTCTCGTATCTCAAGCTAACGAGGATTGGATAGGATTGTACATGCCAGCGCCAAGGTCAAGGTACTTCATATTGTCGCAGCAAACAAGGGATAACTTATTTTTCATCTGCATCACCTGTACTATAGCGACCTAAAACAGTCATGAACTACCTAGAAGACTACGTGGTTTTCGTGTTGTGCCTTTTGCTCCCAATCGCCGTGGGATTCTTCTTTGCCTGCCGAGGACAAAGGCCGAAAACCACAACAGAATTTCTCTTCGCGGACAAGAATTTAAGAAGCTGGATTTTGGCGCTGTCACTTGTGGCTAGCTATTTTTCGTCGGTTCTTCTTCTTGCTTCAGTAGCACAAGTGTTTTCATTTGGACTGCAGTACATCATTTTCGCTCTGTTCGCTTACTGGTTTGTCGCGGCTGTTGCTCATATTATCTTCATTCCTATGTTTCACCGATTGCAAGTTACGTCAGTCAACGAGGTAAGTTTGTGGTTATGTAACATTAATTCCGAGTTATGTCTGGCGTTTGAAAAGCTTCTTGGCCCTTTTTCGGTATAGTCTCGATAGACATCGCGAGGTAACATGCATGTTATGAGATAACACAGGAACAGATATTTCCTTAAGGGAAAAGAACCGATACTTAGATCATCCTTAAGTCGTGCAGCTTACCATATGCATGAAATAATTAAATTTTAAGTGTAAAAGGAATTAGTAACCAGCTCGCTCAGTTTATAGAATCTTCCATGAATCGGTATTGTTGTGATTTTCTTTCTTGCTTTCGCCGGCAGTTATATTTGTGTGTTTTATTATCATCAGAGCTTTAAGTTCCGAGTCGCACAATTTTACCATGAAAAAACCATCTTAATCAAATTATCATTTGCTGTCAAGAGGACCTGACCTACGTTTAAATATGAGAGCGTGCAATTAAAAAAAGAGCAACTGATATTTTGCACACTCTGTACACGTGCATTGAGTCATTATAGAAAGGATGGCAAATGCAGATGTGCAATACTAGACGAATACCACAAATATTTTTCTTCATGAATAGAGGAACTTGTTGTTGTTACCGCCGATGTCAATGAGATGTTTTTAAATTTTTCTCTTTAGCCGATTATTCTGAAACGTCTCATTTACTCCAAAACCCTAATCCATCCCTCTAAGTGTCTGTAGACATATTAAAAAGGAATTTGCTATTTTGCGAAAATTTTACCTATGAGTCTTTCGTGTTTTTTAGAGCCCTATGAAGTCTATCATTTTGCGATAGAAATTTGAGTAAAAGGCTACCACAATGGAGTGATGAAATAACGTGACCAGACTTTAGATTCGATGTTTAAAATCATTAATGCCATTCTTATCAGGAGAAATAACAAATTTACGGAATCGAAATTTATGCGAGAATGATTAAACGAACTTCATGTATTGTCTGAATTACATTTTTTAGAATACACGATTCGTAGTTTTCGAAACTAGTGTTTCTTGATTTCTAAAAAAAATATGTTGGAATTCCGTAAACATGATGTACCTTGAGTTTCGAAAGCCTTCTATTTTATCCCTAATTTCCTTCGAGCTTCACTCTTGATCCAAGAACAAACCCAAAATGATTAGAGAGGTGATAAAATCACCTTTTCTGATTTACTTGCGGTTTGTCCTCAAGAAATTATGGTTTTTCATAAAATTGAAGATAGAGCAAGGTATTCAAAAATTTAACGTCCCACGCCATGTGGGCAGTAATCATTGATACGTGGGGTACCTCACGCAATGTTATGCAGTCTTTATCGCTTACGGTCAATACAGTCGCCGTCAAAAGTAGCTTAAATTTAGAGAGAAAAACTAAGGAAAGGACAAGAAAAAGTGTTGATAACTAAATTTTAGAAAGATGACATTGAGGTAAATTAAGATTACAGTGAAAGTGACGTCGGGAATCAAAGAACTTGTTTGTTACGTGCCCTTGTTTTTGCTATTTAATAGACTCGTTTAATTTATTTATCTATTCATTCACCTATTAAACAATAAATTAGAATTGTTTTTGTCCGTGCAGTGCGCCCTTTCTCTTTATTAAGAACTGAGTAAATTTTCCCCTTAAAAATTTTTTTAGAAGTCTATGGAGTTAGAATTGGTAACAAAATGCGGAAGGCAAGTTCTGCTATTGCTCAACACATCTGGAAGGGGTAATTCTAAATTTAACAATTTCGCAAAACCATTTACTCTTTTTCCTTTAGTACCTAGAGGCGCGGTTTTCCGGTGGCGTCCGGTATGTGGGGGCAATCCTCTTCACTGTGACCTATGTAAGTAATGTCAGATTTACTTTATTTCTTGAATCCCTGCTCTGACAACGGATGAAATTGGGAGCGAATTTGAATGTATTCCCGTCACGCAATACGGAAAGACGTGACTGAAGACGTTAATTATATGACCGATATCAAACCTTACAGAAACCCAAAGCGATCATTTACGGTTGGAGCTCTTTTACTTGAAACGCTACGTAAACTTTTATGTTCTTTACCAGAAAAAGTCAAACCTCCATAAACAGAAATCTTAAAATGTGCTTTGATAAGCAGTCTTTGCAGACATTTAAGTTAAGGTCAAAGTGAAAATGAAACTTTTTGTTTTGCTGCTGTATAGAGCCTGTACTTATGTCTGGTCGTGTACATACCCTCACAGGCCATCAATACGGGTAAGGAGCTGTTAATATTAAATGGCATGGGTATTGAATTAGATAAACAGGAAATTTGTTGGTGGAAAGTTATCGAAAAGAAATGAAACGATTTAAAATAACGATCTTATGAGGATTTCTTGGAGTGTCTCTGAATCGCGCATCCGAAGTTTTTCTAAAACAGGTTTCTATGTGTATAAGTGCACTTTTCATATCCTAGTAAAATCTTGTTAGTGCTATCGTTATTTCATCTTTTACTGTTTCGTATTCCTAGTTGCTGGAGTTCCGTTAGCAGTCGGCATCGTCTGCACGAGCGTCGCCTGTACACTGTACTCTGCATTGGTGAGTTTAGAGACCCTTTCCTTCTACCTTTGACCCCTAAGAGTGATCAGCTTCTAGTTTCTCCTCACAACGTCACTCCTGAATCCCACAATAAGGTCACGAGAACGGAGGAAATAATTGCTAAATAAAGAAGCTCTTGATAGTTGAACAAATTCTCCTTGTCAGCACATCAAGGAATACAAAGAGGACAGTATGGAGAAAATGCATACTGATGTTAGGGGATAAAGGTTAAATTGACGAACATAACAAAAATAATAACATGGTCCAGATAGTAAGTAGTGAAATTTCAGTCAATGAACTCATTATATTGAAGAAATATCAGAGCGAAATTGTTTTTTTTTTTTTTTCCTCTGGGATTGGGCTCTCCGATCATAAAATCTGTCATTTTTTTCGTATTCGAACCTGTATTAAAAAAAGAAAAAAAAAAAGACTGTTGCGTAGATAAGAAAGATAACTAAAATACAATCAGACAATAGACGATATTTCATTTGTTCGTTTATCTTTCCTGTGCTTGTACCAAATCACGTAAGGTGTTCATTTCTAGTGAAATTATTTTTAGTTGCCAATTTGAAGAAGTGTTTAATTAAGTCGATTGAGGTTTCCTTTCTCGGTTTGAATGACACAAGTTGACTCGGAGGTCAAACTCCGGTTAATTGTTTTAATGTGCACAAGCACGTCCACTAAACACTGTCCAAAGTACAGCTCTTTAGCATATCAGCTAAATCCATAGACAATCATTGCCAGTAATCTTGATTGACCTGGCAATACGCCGCCGATTTCATGAGTCAACAAATAACAAAGACTTCCGCCCACAACCTTTTTTTCACTCAGTCACAAAAAGAATACATATGAAAATATTTACCTTGGAGGTCGCGAAAAATATTGAGGAAACGAAAGACTGAAAATGCGAAATTTGTCATATCCAGGCAAGCCCCTGAACTGAAATATCTGGCTGTTAGGAAGGTGTTTATCGTTCTTAGCACAAAAAGGAAGTAGATCACGGCTTTTGAATATCGAAAGCCGCTGCCTGTTTCGATAAAAATTTTTCTAGTTTCGTTATTTGAATTACATGTTGATGTTCACCAATGTAGACGGATCTTTCCTCGCTCCTCCTTGGAATACACTCACCTCATCAGAGTCCCGTACCTCGCTAAATTATCATATTGATCTAAGGTTAAATAAAATATTGTGAAATTATAATGTAAATATTTTGAACTGTTAAGAGAGCACTGGAGAAAAATCGTACAAGATCACTGGAAAAAATGGTACTATAAAGCTAAAAATTACATAACTTCTAAAAAATTACTCCTTCTGAAAGTAGTTACCGATCGCGAAAAATAAGATTCTTTCAATTTTAAAATCAGAAACCAATTTTCTTCTCTCTTGGTATTGAGTAACATGTAAACTGATGTTGCATTTGTTTATTCATGGTAACTGTTTTGTTTTGGTTTGTTTTGTTTTGCTTTTTTTTACAGGGAGGCTTGAAGGCGGTGGCGTGGACAAACGCGTTTCATGTGATTCTTATGGTGACTGGACTGGTCACGCTGTGCATTGTGGGTACGAACACCGCAGGAGGCTTTGATCATGTGATTGAAGTCAACAAAGATCGAAAGCGAATGCTGTTATTTGAGTAAGAAGCATAAGATTCGGAGATCTCTGAGATTTATGAATTTCTAAATGCTTCTTATTTATATTTGCGTCTTTCCTCTGGCAGTTTCAACCCAAACCCCACAGTCCGTGATACTTTCTGGACACTTTCCATTGGCGGAGCCATCACTGTCATACCTGTGTGGACGGTCAATCAGACAGCAGTTCAGCGGTATATCTCCAACAAGTGTGTCGGCCTGGCTAGGAGGTAAGCTCTGAGAATTTAACAGTTCCAGTCTTTTCCCATCCCTCTGGGCGATGCATCTATTACTTGGAAATTTTCGTGCCAACTCAACCAATTATATGAAGATATGGAAATTTCAAACTGACGCGACTTAGCTTTCCTTTGCTTCCACCTGTTAACGCTGAACTACATTCGCTCGTTACTACGCTTCGTATCGTTGTAAGATTCTTCGTTTACCTTTAAAACCCTCTTAGAGAAATTTTTCATTGGAGTGTCGGCAGAAGTCCCGGATTGCTTTGGTTTTACCTAACTTTGTTCTGCGATTGGTTCAGAAAACTCGCGCCATCCTCTCAACTAATTGGATGCATATGTAAAAACAACCGTGATTTGGTCATTCGCGTTTTACCGCGCTTCATGCAATCAGTTAGCTTGTTTCCACTTTGAGTTCTCATTGGCTAATGTAAACCTTTGTTCTGATTGTCGCTGTGATTACTGTGGTTTTGGTTTTCGAAACTCAATTAGAAACAACTTCATTGTAAAGTTGCCTGAGCAATCGTGAATTCCCGCGCTTCAGGGTAATTATCTAAGTGTACTTTTTGATTTATGTGATAGATCAACTATTGACGTTTTCTTGTTACCACATTCAGTACAAAAGATACTCTTATTACAATCCACATTCAGTACAAAAGAGCCCTAGGATAATATGAACTTACAGTAGCGGCTTTGATTCAGTTATACATGTAATTAATATACTTGACTGTCTCAGCAACATCCTCAAATAAGACGCTATAGTACTTTTAACCGATACAAATCGATTTGATTTTGCAGGGCCGTTTGGATCAGTGTGCCAGTGCTTATAATCATAACAGGCTTAGCGTGTATAACCGGTCTCATCATGTATACTGTGTTTGCCAACTGTGATCCTTTGATGACAGGAGCAATTCAACGCAATGATCAGGTACTGAAAAATACTTTATAGACACTTGCAGAGGTGTTAACAAGGAGATGAATTACAAATCTCAAATATTAGCCCAGATGTATTAAGTTTGTTTCAAATTAGACAAAAACACTAAGGGCATTTGGTGATAAAGAGAATTTGCGGCCTAATAATTAACGTCCAGGACTCCAAATCGAGAGGCGTCTTGGAGAGCTCAATAGAGATCATTCGCACTCAGTCCCTCTGCTTGAAGCTCGACCAACACAGAAACCCTCATAAATTCTTTTCCTGCTTTTCAGGTGCTGTTCTACTACATCAAACATCACCTACAACACCTAAAAGGACTTCCAGGATTCCTCACTTCCTGCGTGTTCGCTGGATCTTTGAGGTAGAAATTCCGCGATTTTATCTAGCGCCATCGTGATGCATGTCTCTTTGTAGCTTACTTCTAGTGGCTTTATCGGTCGGTGCAAGTGAATATTGGAGTAATTTTGCATTGCACGTTATTGTTTTGGATTTGCTTTACTTCGAACTGTGATTGGTCTGAAAACCTCTCGTAAACCAATCGGATGCAAAACCTGTACCAGCGGCGCAAGTAGATGTTTGAGCAATTACCATTTCGGGGTAGAAAAACATGATATGTAGAGAGATTTCTCTAGTTTGGAGGCAACGTTCAGTGGTCGGTATAGAAAACTCGCGCCACACTCGGTCAGCCGATCAGAAGCAAAACTAAACATCGGTGAATTAATTAAGAGATGGCGGTAAATGTTTAATTTTTTACCGCGTTTCTGCCAGCCTTTTGCACTTTTCAACATTTCACTGACTCATTGCGATACTGATGTATTTCTTCTTACTGACTGCAGTGACTATATTAGGCATGCACCAGATGATATCTCGGTCTTTTCTCTGTGTTTGAATGACTAGACATTTTCTCTTTCAGCTTCGTGTCATCAGGACTGAACTCTTTAAGCCTGGTCATTTTGGAGGATTTTTTAAAGAAATGGTCAAGAAGGATTGACGACTTCGATTCGGTGAAAAGTTGCAAACTTATCAGTAAGTAAACTAACTTTCCATTTTAAAACTTTTTCCAGATGTAAGGCCATGCATGCTAATTTGAGTTTGATTTATTTGGCTTTGTTTCTCAGCTGCGATTCTGGGCGTGACAGTGATGGGAGGAGCCTTTGTTCTTCACCATGCAGGCGACGTGGTCTTACAGGTTTGTAAACATTCTTCTTATTATAACAACTCTTGCAATGGTCTAACTTACCAACCAGTTCCACGCAGCTCAAGGGTGGAGCATGGGACCGCGAAATCCGAAGGGGTTTGGGCACAATTCCGCGACGGCGACGCTTAGGTAAACGTCGCCTGAAAATGAACTTTAATTTCTCTTCAGAATTTTGCCAGTTTCTCGATGTTTTTACCCTTTCATTAGAACTTATCACCCTGCGCTTATAATTACGACTCCAAATCCAACTCCGACTCCGTTGTAAGTGAAACTAGCTTTAAATTTCTTGTTGCGCCACGTTGTTATTCCAGTCGCCGTCGTGATGCCAACGTTAAATGGGATACTCGTCTCTTATGAACCTAATGTTTGGGCTATCACGGCCCAACTAGTCTGTTGGCAAGTGAGACAACAATCGACGGGTGATCCAAACGGAGGAGCGTGTGTTCAATGCTTTTGCAAGAACTCAGAAGTTTGCTTTGTCTCATTTTCGTGACAAGCTCGTTAACATCTACTTCCATTCCAAGAATGCTTGAAATATTTACCATGTTAATATATTTTTTTACCACTAAGGACGTGTTCAAGACCTCGTTAAGGAATTTTGAGTTTCTTTCGTCACTCGCAACGAAGATTTTACAATGTTCCGACTTTGATAGTGTGCTTTTTTTCTTTCTTTTCTTTATTATAGATGTTCTCTGGTTTGCTTTACATCACCGGTGGCCCTTTACTTGGCATCTTCACTCTCGGTCTTTTGGTGTCACGAGCAAATGCAAAGGTAGCAATCAATCTCAAGCTTATGCTTGTTCGTGTTTCGTTCGTCCAGTTCAAAATATGAAATCCGATTTAAGCTACATTTGTACTCGAGGCAAACTAATATTTCAAAGTTTTCTTATATCGAAGGGATATGTTATTTGCCGGAAGTAAATCAACCTTAACAATTAAGACCAATCTCCTTCGATTTCTTTTTTACAATTCGATGTTTTCACAATAAACTTTGTTTTACCTGGATAGTATCACCCCGCCTAAAGAGAACTGATGATCGTGTCAGTAGACTCTGAAGGCCACTGTGTACCTTCTATAGGCTGCGCGTCTTTTCGTCTCAAAACCTTTTTTAATTCTTACCGTAGGGCGCATACCTTGGAGTGGTCAGCGGTCTGGCCATGACAATCTGGCTTTTTACTGGAGCCCAGCTTTACCCGCCAAATGAAAACTTCGGCCCAGTCTCAATCTCGGAATGCTCCCCTGAAGTATTCAACAAGTCTCAAGCAGCGATGATCAATAACACGAAGATCACATACCAGTACGAGTAAGTAAAAATCCTCGAAACTAAACTGACACAATAATATATTCTCTCGTCTGAACCTGATTCCAGTCAGTTACCAGTTGTTTCCTGGGGGTGGGGGACTTTCTGGGTTGGATAATACACCGAACACCCCCATTCTCCTCTCCAGTAGGACAATAACTAAATACAAGCAAAATAAACTGGAGAAAATAGTGGATGGAGGGGGGGGAGGGGGGGAAGAAGAGAAAGGCTGAGGGGATGGGGATCTGGTAGGGTACTCTAAGACCGAGTTAGCTTCTTATTCAGAGTAAGCAATATTACTCCTTGTCGATTCATTGGGATATAATCGACATAGGCTACGCCAAGAAAGCAAGTCAGTCTCCCTTTTTAGACTCTCCATCTTGGAGGAAAACATTGAAAACTTGCTTTTCCTGTGTTCGTGAGGGAATCTCCCCATTATTTTTCGTTTTGTCGGAGACCGGGGTCGAACACAGGCAAGATTATTTATTGACAGATTTGTGCGTATGAGTGTAATCAAGCCTATTCTTTGCACTATGAGTTTTGTACAGACGTGAGGGATTAAATCGGTTCAGTTTAAAAACTTGTGAACTGTGACTTTATTGCTGCTGGAGGCATTCACGACATTTTTTCGTTCTTATTATTTTTTTTTTCAGTAACCCGATGGCTGGGTTTTACAGCACATCGTACTTGTGGTACTGTGCCATTGGTTGGTTTGTTACTATGCTAATAGGAACTGTTACAAGTTTGTTGTTAGGTGAGAGACAAATAAAACAAGTATGAGTAGTGTGTGAACCTTGTTCCCAGGACCTTCCCTAAGGTACCCGCGTTTGAGACGAGCCGTGCCAATGTTGTTTTGTCTATGACCGGTAAAAAGTTGAAATATATCAAAAATTGAGTCAATGATTTGTTTTCTGTTTGCTTCTGAGCTTGTTTGTTTGTAAAAGGCCATTTTATAGTTGTGTGCTTAGTTGCCAAGCCTTTGAGTTGACCATGTTGTGATAGAGACCAGTATCTAGTTAGCATGATAACTAAGTAATTTACATCTGAAAAGCAGCAAGGTTTGTATCATAACAAGGTCACCCTTAGCCTCACTCGTGTTCAAAGGCTTGGCAATCAAGAGCGTAACTGTAAAATGGACTATTAAGTCTGCAAAGCCTTTTGTGCCAAATGTGGTGTGGCAAACTCTCTTCGCGTCTGCCAACAAGGTGGGGATAATGCATTCCAGACCCTTGGCTGAAAAAAAATGAGAGATTCCGTTCAAGCGGTTACATTCACTGTCTTGCGTGGATCCTAAATTACCGCACCTCATTTGTCTTCGTCATCAGAAACTGCAGAAGAAAGAAAAGTAGGCGTGGATCCCAAGTTGTTATTTCCAGTGAAGTTATGGCTCCTAAGCTGGTTACCCAGCCAACGAAATAGATGGAACTCGAAAACAGGCCTGCCTATGTCAGACGATAAAGAGGACTGGGTTCAGCTCGGGGAGAGAAAGCATGATCCAGGTTGCAAAGAGCAGGTTGGAAGTCATACTTTTAATATTTTGCTTCGTTGTTTCCCAACCGACATTTGAAACAGACCTAATTACAGATCATTTTCGTGAAAGGAACAGTTTATGTTTTTTACCACGAGGTCTTTTTTGAGAACTTGGAGATCAATGAACGCATTTCTTCACACGCCTGTCACGTTTTCCTCGGGCTTTGCAGCCCGCGCTACTCGTTTACCCATGCCTCAACCCTTTTTAAGTTTGTTTCCCCACCCTTGGCATAAGTAACATCACGGAAGATCAGAAAGAACGCGGCATTTATCATGACAATTTTCAAATTGCAAAAATTCTGCTTTGACGTTAAGGGACGTTGTGGCTTTGAATGTATAACTGCAATCCGCGTTGTTCTTCGGTAGCCAGCTATTATAATGAAATATTTGTTTTTCTTAAAGTTGATTGGAAAAAACCTCTTTGCGACCTCTTGAAACGACTCAAGATGACGTCATGTATAGGAATGTTTGTAGTAATGTTTTTTTTACCACATTTTTTCCTTCTTTTTAATTTCAGCTTCCAGTTGGAAGGAACTCATATAGAACCAGTGTTGCATGATACACGACAAGATAACAAACAACAACATCAACAACAACAACAACAAAGCAAAGAACAGCAGTAACACTGAAGGTTTCATCGATAACATTGACTGAGGTTGCCAAGATATGGAGCTAAATATCTTGTGAAAGTTCAGTGTATGGATCATTTGAAACTTTGTTGCTAAAACTACATTGTTAACAACATAGAGCTGTCAGTGGAGTGCAAAGGTTACAATGAAACTATGCGCGTCAGTTGATGTCCACAGACTTTGAAAAAAAGCAGTGGGGAGTTAAAGCATTTGGGATCACTTACAGATACAATGGACACATTATTTCAGCCTCTATGAGGGTATCAATTTACAGTCAGAACTTTGCATCCGGGAACTTAAAAGTCTACCAGTGAAAATACTTATTTTACATTTAAACTAGCATCCGTGAGGTTGAAGTCACAAGTATATTTTTCTAACAATTATTTATTTATAGAAAAAGTGAATCTGCTTCAATGTTTTTTTTCTTGCCCGGTATGGCCTTGAGATACTTGGAGAAGCCAAAAAGGCAAAAAGAGAGGGGGAGGGGTTGGGAGAGGGGGGAGGAGCTATTCTAATTTGGATGTTTGGTTACTGAACACTAATAAATTGAAGATTTTTCATGTCATATTCACCACTAGAGCTGACAAGGGGAACTTATTTCATTTACTAAAGGATGAGAGCAGGAAAAAAGAAGTCACAAACACCAATCAGAAGAAAGGAAGATACCTTTAACCCTTTAACTCCCAAGATCTAATTGTTAATTCTCCCCTGTAGCTGCTACACATTTCCTTGTAAATTAGTTATGAGAACTTGGTGCTAGATCAAGATAGCAGCTTCTACCTGATAAGTTTGAATATTCTCATTACCCGTTTGCTGAAGAATGTATGGATATTGTAGGGAGAAGTTTTATGTTAATCACTTCTGGGAGTTAAAGGGTTAAGAGCCAATGAGAACTCAAATTTCAACTAACCAAACCTTAAGTGAACAAAACGCAGGCAGCTAAGTTGTGATTGGTTGTAGTTTTGCATCTGATTGGTTGAGAGATTGGTGCAAGTTTTCAAGCCCAATCACAAAGTGAAGCAAAAAAAAAAACAACAAACAAACAAACAAACAACAACAACATCAATCTTAAATTATTTTCAATACTCAATTGAAAACTGTTCTAACACACTTACAGTCTGATAATTTAAACACAATTATAACCAAATTTGAATCACTTTTTTGTAATATTTACAATAACTGAAACAGTTTAAGATGTTGTATTTTTGAAGGTTGGTGTAAAATTGCAATTAAAAACTATAACAGGGGTTTCACAGAATCGTTTCTCTGTTCCATCACTGCGTAAACTGTCACTGTGAGCCCCTTAATGTATATTGACCATTTTGAATGGATCATTTTTCTACAATACACTGTTACCAATTATAAAACCTTTGTAATAATTATACATTCTTTACAATGGATTGCCTTCATTTCAAACCCTGCCCATTCCAGATTTTTTAAACCAATTCAAAATTAAAGACATACCACCAAAAACTGGAATCACCGAAGAAAAATGGAGAGAGAGAATTTGGGAGAATGCCCACCTTACCTGATATTTTAAAGATTTTTGCATTGGTCAACAATCATCTAAACTACACCAAAAACATGGGGGAGTTACACAGCTTACATAGCTTGTAACTAATCCTTAGTTGCTTGCCTTCAGTCCCTGGAACACTGAGAAAACTACAAAGTTCTCATCGATTATCTGGGATTTTCCATGCATTTGAAAACCCCATCCAAGAATGTAGATGGCTCACTGCTAACATGTCCCTGTTGAACAACAGTTGACACAGTGAAACATGCCATCGCGATGTACAGGTTGAACCTGTTACCAAAGGATTACATGTAACAGTTATCAGCCTTCTCAATGCAATTCAAATGTTGGATTTGGTGCATTGTGCACATTATTGCTTTTGTATTCACTCAACTTAGAACACCTGTTGCACACAGCAAACCACAATGTACCATAACATGCTAGGCATTTCTGTCAGCCTGTACTCAATGCACAACCAGATTCTCTCATGTATCAAACTCACATGAGCTGACAGCTTTTTAAAACTAGAATTCCATTGCACCATTGAAATAGTCTGGGGAAAAAGACCTGAAGCCAACTCGCAATTCTCCCTTGTCAGTGACTTGCACAGGATAAATACCAACTTTTGTACCCTTCTCACGAGCAGGATCTTTCACAAATCCATTTTCTAAGGAAAACTTCCAACTGTGCCAAGGACACACAATGCATGGCAGGGCTGCCTGACCCAGCTCTTCAATGTCCCCAAGATGAAGAGGGCCACCTGCATTGAAACAGAATTCAATCCACCCTTTAACTCCCAAGATCTGATTGTTAATTCTCCCCTCTAGCTGCAACATATTTCATCATAAATAAGTTACAAGCATTTGGTGTTAGCTCAAGATTGCAACTTCTACCTGATAAAGTTGAGCACTCTCATTAACTGTTTGCATTTTGCAATGACAAATTTTCTTTAAGCAATGCATGGTAGTCCTTAGACCTTCTTCATAATTCTTGCATATTTTCTTAGCTTTTAGCATGTATATGCCTTCGTGTCTGAGCTTTTCAAACACTTATATCATGAGCCTTAGGCTATGGAGATTTAACATTCCCCAAGAATTTGATGTTATCTAAATTATCTTATCTCACCCAATCTAATCTTATCTTACGGAATGACCCTAACATCTACTCACCCATGTGTGGACACATTTCATCCAGGGCATAAACTGTTCCTTTATGTTTGAGCAATGCAATCTTCTGGTTATTTACTGTCACCAGTCTTCCAGTACGTCTCCTAGATTTTCTCCTACCAGAGATGCCAGAAAAGAAGGGAACACCTTCATCGCTGTTGAATGGTGCCGTACAACTTGAAAGTTCTGGAAGATCTACAAAAGCAGGGAGTAAGTCAAATTATAGCAATTTTATTTCCATATTAAAAAAGCTACCAACTAAAAAAAAAAAAAAATTGACAACATGAGTGAAGGGTGCATTTTAGCTTTTTAAACATTCACCATTAAATTAAATATACTGCTAAGTACTCCAGGAAAATGCACAATTTAGTATTTTATACTAATTTATCACCAAATAAAAAAACACAATCATTGAAAATAAACTATACAGTCATGATACTCTAATTACAAATATCACAACAGTTTTAAATTTATTTAGATAATCACATAATTTTGAGTGCAATTTGGTATAAATAAGAGCAAGTAAATTTTTTTAAAGACTAACAAAATTGCATGAGCCTGTAGGGCCAGTGCAATTTGTGGTCTTCAAAAAAATTTACAAGTGCTTATTTATTCCAAATTGCACAAGAAAAATCATGTGATTACATGTTATTAATAATAAAGATACATGAAAAATACAAGATAGCTTATCATAATTATGCAGAAGCAAAGTGCACATCAAGTGCAAAAATAACGTTATTTTTCAAATCAGGTTATTATTCAAATCTTGCAAGTGACATTGTGCCTTCAGTCAAAACAACTATGTACAATCAAAACAATAATATACAATGCTATTTTCATATCTTTAAGGTGCAAAAAAGTTCAAAGTCCGCCTAAACAGTTCAAGGAATTGTTCAGTCTGGTTTGTTACTTCTTTGCATTAAATTAACTCTCTTCTCCACTGAATTACTGAAAATTGCATTTATCTTAACCAATCAGAACTGAGTAATTTTTCTATGTATCTTATTAATAGCATTATAATATATAATGTAATTTATATTTATAATCAAAATGGGCAAGTCAGTATATAGTATATAGTATTATATGTTTATGAAAATATTGTATGGTCTGCAATCAAAGTGAAATTATAAATTTTATAACACATCACTCAAGCTTTTCTGTTACCCGATATAAAAGAAATTAAATGCAAACCACAAACAACCATTTACTGCTCACTTGATCCACAGATAAGAATGTTTGTTTGTGGTTTAGTACATCATTAATGTTGTGATGAGAGTGTTTTTTTCCTGGAGAAAAAAATTTTTAATTTTGGAAACCAATTTACAATTTTTCATGTAGGTTCCCAAATGGCTTTGGAAACATTTGAGCTCAGAGCTGTGATCAGAAATCATTATAAATAGTTTCCCCTTAACTCAGGAGATCTGATGTACTGAGCAATTCCCCTTAATAACTGCTACTCATTTCTTAACAAATTAGTTGAGAAAATTTGGATAGCGTTACAAAACTAGCTGATAGGTTTGTCTTTTTTCATCACCTTAAAGCTTCTTTTCAGTAAATTGTAGTAAGATTGTGGGCTGGAGTTATTTGTTTGCTGGTAAGACAACAGGTGACAGAATAGTCCATATGTACAGGAGAAGAAACACAACACACACAATCATTTTCAGGCAGGAGGCAACCCACTGGCTCAACGACTTCACATATTCATCCATGTCAATGAGTTTGTCATATTCTGTCTCCAGTACTTCATCTTCAGTGCCGACTATTCCTTCAGGAGTGTAATAATTGCTTATTACCATCAAGAGGTGTAGGCATATCAAAAGGAGAAAAAGGTAAAACATAAGGTATGTTGAGGTAACCAGTGGCTTTTCTTCACTCTCCTCTGAAGTCGAAGGATGATTCTCAACTTGTGACTGAAGATTCCAGCAATCTGCACAAGGATTGATGTTTGTTAGGAGATGCTGCACAGATACCTCATGAAGTACACTGTATACGAGCAGTGAAAATGTCACAAAAGTGTCAAAGATCATGTTCAATTGAATGTGAAAATTAAACTCTGTAAGGATTAAAAAATTCCAGCTAGGGTTGCAGGCAGAATAAGGATAATGCTGCATACAGGTCCAACCAAAATAAACAGAATATGATGTAACAATGCCAGCTTGAAGGAGTCCAGTTTCTCGCACTTTGGGATGAATTGACAAAAGTGATGCAAAAGTACAAAGCAAAACAACAGTTGTGATAAAAATTAAGTTTGTTCTACAATCTTTTGAAATGGTGTAAGTGGCATAGAAATATACAATGAATGCTAAAGAAAGGGTATATAACAGAGATGTGAAGAATAACATTGAAAAATACCACCATTTTGGCCGTTCTGAGAGTTCCATTCTCTCTACCCAATAACCATTTAAAGCTTTTGCTAGATCAATGATTAAAATGGCCTGGATAACCATCACAATAAAACTTCCAATCCAACCAACATGCATTATGGCATTACTGAGGTGTCCTTCCGGAATGAGAAGTGACAAGAGAAGACACAAACAAAACAGATGAAACTTTATGAACCAGAAGCCATTCTCGAGCCAATGGCTGAACGTTGTAAACACAGTCAGCTGGCAGTTGATTATCGCCAAGAACAAAAAGAAAACCATCATTCCAATGAAGAATCTGTACAGCAAAATGTGTCCCACCAAAGTATCGCACTTTCCTTGACTTGTATTTCTGCTACAGTAACGAGAATTTACCACAAAGAATCTTCTAAAGGCTGGTATAAATGTCAGTGTTGACATCAAAACACCAAATAAAATAAATCCAATGTACATAAGCTTTCCTTGTTTGAGTTTCACAGTTGGAATACCACAGACACCCATCTTAGAAAACCTACAATCAATATAGTCCCACAGATTTGACCAATGAGCTCATATCATGATATTTAAAAAAAAAATAGAGGTAAAAGTAGGTTCTATAAATGAACTTCTTCAATTGCAGAGCTTCTTTTCCAGTCTCTAGATCAATCCATCATTCTGACAGTCTTGGTTGTTCCAATAGAGGTGTTCCTAAGTGTCTTGAACACACAAAGATCACAGTTATCTCAGACTAACAAACAAACAATTGATAGGTGTTCCACACAATCTTTGACCTGTGAGAGTTGCATTGCTGGTCAGTCAAAACATGTGCTGTCCGCTAGTTCCTCAAGCACAGAAGCATAGAACAATCAATGGACACAAAATTATAATAAACCACTGGAATGAAACATCTGATTTTTTCTTTCTAAGTTGGGTGATTTGACAATATTTATCAGCAGGTACCTGTGACACTTTACAATAAACATACAGAGCAGGTAGGTAACAGCTATGACCAACACAATCAATGATAATACAATTAAAATTATCAGTCAATTTTTACATGGAAATATGCCCATTGATCTTTGAAAAAAGAATTCTAATAAGCACATTACTGCAATGCCTCAAGGTAAAATGTCTTCTTCCACTGTAACCCAGAAGCTTCATTCTGCACAATCCTAACATTTGTAAAGAAAAATCTTAAACTCAGACGAGAGAGATCTGGGTGTTATTTTGAGAGGGAGTTGGAAACAAACAATGAAGTCTTTCTTCAGAGAAACAGTTCCTAGGCCCAAATCCCGAAAACAAAGGCAGCCTTGTTAAAAAGTGGCATCAAACTAGGTAAGTCAGTTACAGTTTTAATATAAAAGAACCTTAACTACATCATTGGAAAAGAGAAAGAGAAATTATTTGTGAGAATAATTAGGCGATCGCGCGACGCGTGATTGTCGAGAGAGCATTAAGTTGGATGGGCAGATAAAACTTTGATCGACAGCCATACAATAATCTTAATCAGAGATAGATCGATTGTGAAATATACTTCAAAAACATCTAGGAAAACCGTTCTTAACAGCTTATTCTCTCGAAGTATGAGCTCACGTAGATAATGGAGATCAATACAACTCCAAATTAAAGGATTTTGGGACTTAACACCCTTAAAAACCCACACAAACCTTCGTATCGAAGACCCTCGACGGTAAAGTAGAAGAATTCGTCGTTATTTGTCGCAGATTCTGCCATTCAACGAATCCGCGAAAAAGAACACATGCAGCTTACTTTGCCGCCATTTTGTAATCTCCTCTCCAGTTCCCAATCGGTTAGTTTCCATAGCGACCAAGACATGTAGCGCCATATTTTGATCCCCTAGTTATTTGAGAGATCAACCCTCAGAAAACAGATGTAGCGACCACGATTGCAAGCTTGCCGGCTTAAAATTGAATGATATCTGCTTATATTGGTATTTTATGCGACGACGAATCCGCATATGAACTAGACTTGCGATGATGCCGAAGTCAAGAAGAAAAGAGAAATTTCAGTTCTTGAAACAAATTCTTGAAGATTCCTCCGCAAGCGATTTAGAAGTTGATGGAAAGAAAAACACCACTGAAACATCCACAAAGAGCGATGGAAGTTCTCAAACAGAAAATGTGAAAAAAGTAAAAGATAAGGCAGCGCCGGTTGGAACATACCCTGTGTTGTTCAAGAAGACTTCTAGAAACAAGAGTTGTCAAACGAGGTTGTCATCATTTCCTCTTTTTCCACTACCAGAGGAAACAGAATGGATCAGTGATGAAGAAGGAGAAGGGAAGAAGAAACCTCTAGTTGCTAGGAAGAAGAAGAAGCAAATCAGATCTGTTTCCAAGAATGCAAACAAAGATACTATGAAACAGGAGGATGAAACTAAAAAAAACGACAGCAAAATGAAAAATCCTGATGGAACAAGAAAAAGCTTCAGATCAGAGCATCAACTGAAAGACACTGATAACCCAGTTCTAAAGACCTGGCTTCATAAAAAAGCCATAGTGGCTCGCAAGCAGAAAAAGCTGGAAAGACAGGAAAAACGTGCAAAAAGGGCTGCCCTGCAAGAGGAGGCCCGTATTCAAGCTGAAAGGGCTTTAGAGTCCATGGAAAGGGTTGGTTTATGGCTAAGAAGGAAACGTAAACAGGCAAAACTAGAATGGAGGAAAAGTCACACCAAGGTCACACCTCAGCAAGGGGATGGCAGCTTACACCCAGGTGAATCTTCTCCACTACCATCCCCTGAGTATAGGGTTGTCAAGAGTTTTAAGTGTAAAGCCCTATCATCTGATTCTAAGACAGGGAATGTGTCTGAAGATAAAAGCAAATCAGTGTCTAAATCTGTGCCAATGGCTAAAGAAGCTTCCTCATCACCCCTTGTTGATGATAAAAGTTTTAGTAAAGAGAAGATACTCCTTGATATGAAAGGTGAATCAAATAATGTGGGAAACACTGCAAATTCTGGAAAGCAGCGTCCAAAGACTGCTATGGATCACACAGAACCAAAGTCCACTTCTAGTCCAAAAATAGCCACAAAAAGACCGAAAACAGCCAAGGAAAGGTCCATCAAGAATGCTGACACTAAGGCAAAAGCAACTAGTTCTGCATCCAGTCATGACACATCGAAAAAAATGCAGGCTTTAAGTTACGATGAATGGTTGAAATTGAAACGAAATAGTGACAAGGAAAAAATGATTAAGAAGAAACAGGATTTGATAGATTCTCACTTAGAAGCAGTCATCAAAGAACTTGGAAAGAAAAGGGTTGAAAAAATTATGTCTCCAAGAAAACAAGTGGATACAGGTTTGAAAAGAATTTCCCACTCCTCTGAGCAGTTAACTCAGTCAGATAGCTCAAAGCTCAACAAAACCAACCCATATCGATGGGTTTTGAGAAAACAACCCCGTCCTGAGCCACAAGGTTGTGACTTTTCAGAAAGCCATAGCACTGACTTTGGTACAAGTGTATCTGGTGAACTCAATGTCAAGGTTGACAATGATATTAGTGGCGTAGAACAACATAAAATTTGTCAAGAAGTGAACAACACATGTGATGAACTCAAGCCTTCAATAGAGAAGGTTAAGACCATTCTTGATTCAGAAATAAAGAAGGTCAGAGAATCTGGAAAAGGTTTGAATAAGCCCATAGATTCACCAGTTTCATCTCCAACAAAACCTGAGGAGTCCACCATAAAGGAACTGAGACCATCGCGACCTATGTCTGCAAGACCTTCCTCTGCAAGACCAAGATCAGCACAACCTCTCGCCACAAAACCTGGAAGCACTCACCTGACAAAGGAACAAACAAAAAAGATTGCAGAAGACCTTGATGTACTTGGAATTTGTGACAGTGAATCATCAGAAACAGATGAACTTGAAATAGAAACTGTTGTTGATGGTGAGATGGGAACAAAATCAACAGTAAGAGAGAACTATTTCGACTATGGAAGTGATGTTGATCCACCTACAATCCAACCACCAGAATTTGTCCAATAGCCACTGAAAACCAAACATCACTGAATCCAGATAAATAAGATACCTCTACTGTTGTCACCTTCACTTCCACTTCTTTTAAGGGAAGCAAATGCTTCTATAACACCTCATAGATCATCCGTTTGTTTATAACACAATGCAAAAGGGATGTTGCCTCAGGCCTTTAGCAGGCATTTGCAAAGACAAGGGAATAATGATTTCCCTATACACAACTACATAGAGACAATCATTCCAAGTCTACCCTATCATCACACTAACATGTCTCTTTAAGATAATAACAGCCATTTAAAAGATTGTAAATTTAAATTTTTTATTTAAAAGTTGTACATTGATTTTATGTAACATTCAATATAAGAATAAAAATTTATTTCATGTGAAATATGTGATAAGCTTTGTGCATTTAAGTGAAATGTTTGAACCAAAGCAACAGTTTAGGGCCCAGTTGTGTGCAGGCTGATTGGTGCCAAACAGAGATCAAATTTAAACCCAGGCTTTTTTTTAAGCCTTTGTTCAAAAGCCTTTCTGGATAATTTACTCTATTATTTTTCAAGCATCTAATCACTGTGGATTATCTCAACCCAGGTTTGAAGATTCATGCCCAGGTGTAGCAGTAGTAATATGGACCAAGGATGATATAACTCTTTTTAACTGTGGAAGTCAGTAGAGTTTGCATATATCTTGTGGTTTTCTTATCCCTTATGAATTTTCAGCTCTGGCTCACCCACACCACTCTTAAACTATCTAACTCTCAGAAGTGATTAACCTGTAACTTCTCCTTACAACATTCAAACATTATCCAACCAACAGGTAATGAGAATACTCAAACTTATCAAGTAGTTGTTGTTTTGATTTAACACCAAATTCTCCTAACTTATTTACAAATTGTGTAGCTACTGGAGGGGAGAATTAAGAAACAGATCTTAGGAGTTAAAGGGTTAATCCTTCAACCCTTTGACTAACATCTTCCAGTAATTTCTCCCTACAATATATCCCCTGAATTACACATTAAGGGCATGAGAATAAAGGAAATGATCACCAACTTAAGAAGATATTGATTGTTAAACAGATTCTCCTTGTCAGCACCTTTGGAAACGTATAGAGAACAGTATGGAGAATATGCATACTGATTTTGTGGTGTTAAAAGGAGTAGATGGTCCTCACAGTATGGTGGACAACGATTTTAACATTCCTACATGTCAATTTTTTTTATTTTATTTCCCCTGAAAGAGTATGTTAAATTTAGAAGCCCTATGGGTTAAGAAAGTAATCAGCATGTTAATTCATTCATTAAGATTAATTCTGATTGACAGATTTTTAATGCAGATAAAAGGATTTGAGGCGTTAATTGTATTCAAACAAGACGACCTTAGTCTCTGTCTGTCTGCAACGAAACACTAAGGTGCTTGTTGCTTCAATTTCTCGTCTATGTTATCAGATTTTGTGAGTTAACATCGCTTAATTGAAGCAGACAGCTTACTTCGATATCCCGGTATGTGTGTACATGTGTTTGTGGTCTCTGGTTAGATCTATACAGCTTGTGTGAATATCTATCGCTCTTTATTCAGATCTGTTGCCTGTTGTGTTTCGCGGTGTGTCACGATTTTCCTTGAGACATTTCTTCTGCATTACTTTTATTGTGCAAAATAGATGAAGTATTTCTTTCAATTAGCTAAATGGAACTATTTGCGACCTTAATGAAAATGAAGTTTTAGACGCTGTTTGAAACAACACTTCTCGGCCTGTCCGTTCGTACGTGAGTGCCTCCTTTGTCTCCTTTGCCAAGCGTAATCTGACACTGGACAACCTACCTGCTCAGTGGATTACGGGGAATAATCCCTGTTGAGTTTTTAATCCTAATAAAATCGCCAGATATATAACCTTTCAAACATCTTGCGCTTGTCGGCGAGAACCGGTAGCAGCCACTTAAAACGGGGAGGGGGGAGGGCAGGGGGATTCCTTGCTGGATGTGTGAGGGTGGTGGTGACAAAAGAAGCTTACTTTAGTATCTTGAGACCCGTTCAAGAGTTTGGCAACAAAATAATTCGGATATTACATACTTCCAACCAAAATTAGAAATACGAAGAGCTGATCTGTTTTCCACAATAATAACACCTCTGATTTCTAACCAGCTAAAAGATGAGTGACCCTGACTTCTCACAACCAAGGCACTTCAGTGACGTGGTGCTTTCTGTGGAGGGAACCAAATTTCACGTCCATAGGAGTACGCTGTCTATGTGGTCCCCAGTGTTCGAGAAAATGTTCACGTCCGAATTCGTGGAGAGAGACGCAAAAGAGATAACTTTGCCTGGGAAAAAAGCAGACGAGATTGAAGTGCTGCTCAAGATAATGTACTCTCAAGGCAGAGCTCGTCAAATAAGAGGTAGGCGAGTCTCTATGGCATAGCCTGCGGCAGGCTCATATTATCAGGGTTGCTAAGGGTTGCAGGACGCGGGTTTCTGACCACGGGAAGATTTGAAACGAGTCGGGGAGAAGTTTGTTGGGGTCTGGCACTAATCTCGTTATCCGTGCCAAACCTCTTGCCGACTCGCATTGCTCAAACTTTCCCGCGGGCTAGGAAACACTCTTGCCGAAGCGCTGATCATTAAAGACCTGCTCGCATATTTGATGGATTACTTTTGGTGTGAAGATCAGGACATCGGGATGGTGTCGGTCAACGCTTTGAATTGACGATGCGTCGGTGGTAGGTCGGTGCTCGACGAGTTATTGAGCATCACCGACAGACTACTGACGCATCGTCCACACGTTTACGTATTGACACCATCCCGATGTCCTATCCTTCACAACACGAACGCATTTCCGTCACAATACCGAGACTATAACTGGCCCCTCACTGTGTCCGCCATTGAACTCTTCGGTAATGTTAGTCTGTTCTCCTTCGTCCTAAATCAACGCGCATACTTTGTGTGTCCACTGTCTTTAAGGTTATTTATGATATCGTTGTGTTTACAATGAGTACTAAACATGAAGAAAAAAAATATTTAATGATTTATTGCAAATCAATCCTCTCTGTATTAGAAGAAAATTGTCAATTCCTGCTGGAACTGGCCGAGGAATACCAGATGGACACAGTTAAGGAGCTTTGCTGCGAATACCTTTCTGGCAACGTACAGGATACAACCTGTGTGAAGTTTTATATGATTGCAGAAAGATTTAGACTTGATTCTTTGTTGAAAGAAACACTCCAGCAAACGAAATATCTGCCTTGGAGGACATTGGATCAGGACGCGTATTTTGATAAACTTCCCGACAAAACCAAACTAGAAATCTGCAAAACAAGGATACAGGAGCTTGAAAAGACTCTGGCTGAATATGTAAATACATGTTCAAGCCTTGTGGATGCAGTGTATAGAAAAGTTGCGGAGAAAGTTCAGACTACAGAGTGTGATAATTACGAGGTTCATCGTTGCGGAGTGAGCGAACGTTTTAAGCTTTCTTGCAAGTGCTGTAGGAGGCGAGTTCAGTATGCAGAATGTGACTTGGAGTATTGGATTTTCAGAACACAGCTGAAAAAGTTGTTTGATTTGGAACACTATAATAAAACAGCTCGGGAATGTAAAGGCTGAATAGTGTGAAAAAATTAAACGCCAACCCGCAGTTTTGGAACAAAGCGGTCAAACGTCTGCGCATGTACAAGCGTCGTAATGACTAAGGACTGAGTGGCTTGCTTTCAGGCTGTTACAGGTAATCATACTAGCCAGTGAGTCACGGTGTTTTATAAGCGAATTACTTGTTTGGTAATTAAAAGCTCAATACAGGACGGTAATTCAACAGGATACCCGTTCGTGAATAAGCTTTGTGTTCGAAAAGTCTCGAGTTTTCCTTTTCCATAATTTTGTTTCCTGTACAGGAACAGCACAGGAAACAGCGTACAGCGGCTTGGTTAGGATGTGTTTCCTAGAAATTTTGCGTGGGAAATTGGCGGCCAAAATGAATCCCCTCGCGCATGCCTTTCGTTTTGACCGCTGTGCTCAGTGTTGGCCGGTTGTTGGGCTTACATTGTAATTGAATTTGCTTCTTCATAGAAAAAAGGGGCCGGTCTTTATTTATCGCCTGGGGGGGAGGGTTGGGTTTGGAGGATTTTGCTTTTGTCACAATAAAATTTACCCGATCCACCCACAAGGCTCTGTAGTATAGAAATGATCCACCCTCACTGGAAGTTATAATTTTCATCAGCCCTCACTCTGATGGTGGTTATGTGTAAGTACCAAGATCAAAAGTTCATACAAGTAATATATAATAATGTATAGTATTATATATATATTAATATACATGATAGGATATAAAGAATAAAACTCAATATAAAGGGTAAAAACAGGACAAACCTTAGTCATTTCTTTTATCAGCCTTTTATATTTTTCTAAGTTACACAAATTCAATATTCGAAATCAAATGACAGCAACAAAAACACGTATAGACACCTTACTAAATAAAGCTTTTGGCAATAATTTTATAATAAAATGCATGTGAGAGTGATGATAGGTGTACAACAGAGTTGGGGAGGGGTAGGGCTAAGGCTTTATGGCACTTTTCACGGAATGTAGAACAGTCCTTCAACACTACCAAAAAGATAAAAACAAAGATTAAAAAACTTAATTCCTCAGAAATTCGATATCTATTTCTAATCGCAAGAGTAACTTTTCGGTGAAAAAATTGAGAATACATGCATTGGCAGGATCTTACGGGCAATGAAACTTAACATTCTCCTCGTTCAGTGTAGTGGCGCGACCGCTGACAAACTGACGGTGCAGCCCTATATGAATAGATACGCATGCATGTAACGGGGTAAACTGCGCGACACAATGAATGACACTTAAAAAAGAACCTCGGAATTGAACTCTGTCTAGCGAGTTCCTTTCATAATAATGCCAGATCAGGAGCCCATCAAGAGTAATGGGCTCCTGGCCAGATTCTGAACTACCAGAGTACACTATCCCACACTCATATGCATTTTTACAATTTTACATGTGCTCGCTTTTTCTTTCCTAATGTTACAAGTTTTAATGACAAACTACTGCGGATGCGATGAAGTCGACATCGCGAGGCGTTTCCTCAGCCGGTCGAGTCTAGCGTATCTCAAAATTCCCCCTAAAGGTCTCTTGCATCAGGTCAAGATCTTGAATTAAGAAAGTAAAATAAACAGAAAAATGTTATTTCTAAACAAATAAAGCCCTTTTTAAGTCTGCGGAAACTACGGAAAAGGTCATAAGCTGTCTATTTTTAGTTCGCGAAAAACGGAAAGTTTAAAATTAAACAAGTTTGGTCCCAGTGTCATATAATAAACTGCTAACTAACCTCGCTTGCTCGGGGCCTACTGGAGAATATTGTATGACCCTTAGTCGTTTCGGTCCGTTTTGCCACGTCCTCGGGAAAATGTTCCCCAGCGCGACCTTCACGCTCGGTTAGTGAGAAGTTATTATTCAGGCTGTAAATACGTGGCTCTTGAGATAAAATTCAAGAATACGACCTTCTAGATTTAGAGCTGCTAGTTAACAGCATCATATAGTGTTGCTTAATTTTTCATACGATTGAGGTGGTTCTCAAAGTTAGTCAATATATAAAACCGCTGAGGGGTGTAAATGTTTCGATCTACTCTCACCTCTCTTGAAATCCCGAATTTCTCCCTCGAAGACGTCACTTTCTTCCATGGGAACTACAATTTCTAAACGAATAAATTTATAAAGTTATTGCAACAAGTAACAAAAAATAAAGAGCTAATGTAGCCTAAAAAAGGGAAAAGAAATGCGAGAGAGTGTAGACGAACACTAAGGCAATTAATAAAGTCAGCGGAAGAAAATAAAACCGATAATGCTCTGGAATCATCTTCGTTTCACATATACTGAGAAACTTTTCCTTATAGTTTGAGATTTATAGCTGATAACTTATTAGCTGATAATTACTTTGAAAAACCGGTGAATGTTTGGCGACCTTTAAATAGCCCCATCAACTGTTTAACTCCCATGAATGACCAAGAGAGAATTTCTCCTTTCAATATCAATATAAGATCAAGTAGACAAATGACGAGAATTGAAAAATATATATCAATTAGGGAAATATTAGTTATTATCCGAACTATTATCATAAGAATTGTATGGAAGACAGTTAGAATAATTTCTTGAGAATGGAAGGGTTAAAATCAAAACCATTAAACGTGCGTGGGAACACTGCACTCGTACATAAAATGATAACGTCAAATACGAGAGTGTCCACACGATTTCTAGCCCCCACCCTCAATAAAAATTCAAGAACTACCTTCATAACCTTCACTCTCGTCATTCGCATCATCAATTGCTGGGTCTGCATCAACTGTTTCTACTTCGTCTCCTTCTTCTTCTCCTTCGTCATTCTTTTCCTCCTCACTGCGGTCATTTTCCCATTCTGGCTCGTTCCATCCCTCCAAGTCACTATCTTCGACCCACTGTGGATTCTCATCACTCTCATCCCAAGCCTCCTCATCCTCTTCTTCACTCCAATCCTCCTCGTCCTCTTCTTCATCCCAATCTTCGTCCCAAGCCTTCTCGTCCTCTTCTTCGTCCAAGGAAGTCTCAAATTCCGAGACTGTGTCCCAGTCTTGAACGTTCCAAATTTCTCCGAGGTTATCGGATGTTTCAGGGACAGGTTTGGCTTTAGCCAACGAGAGAGCACAAAGCAGCAACAAAATCTTGATAAAACCTTTCATTTTAATCTAGAAATAAAAACGTTTCAGTGCAATATGCTGGAAAACTTTTGTTAGTTGATATCAACAACCAACTTCAATTCCTTATTAATATTATCGAGGACGAGAACGGTTACCGTCCGAAGTCAACGGGAAGGAAAACGAACATAATATATATATATATATATATATATATATATATATATATATATGCAAAACAATTGGAGCCCGTGTTTGCAAGAACAGCATAGTTGTGGAAAAAAGCCATATCTCGGTGTATTGAAACACTTTACGATCTTAAAAATGGAAGTTCAATTTCTTTTATTTATTTATTTATTTATTTATTTTTTGCAGTGTCACGCGAAGACAGCAATAACGACTCTAGATCAGCCTTTTCTCAGTAAACTATTTTGTACTTGTCTTAGTCGTTCATGCAGTCGAACCCCGCCGGCCGTACTTGTCGCGTTCGTTCGATAAAGTAGACAGTCTGAGTACTGAAATATTTGCACAAATTTTTAACACAAGTCTTCCATATCTTGTCGCTGTGCAAAAAGGAATTCTACTGATTCGCAACCATTACCTATTACCTTATTCACTGCAGTTTCTAGAGACCACGTTACATGCAAACAAGCGGAGAAAACCATGGAATACATTTACATGAATGCTCTTAAAATGTTTGCGATGATATAACACCACTGTACCTTCACGCGGTCGAACCGATGAACCTTAATACATTTCACTGAACTCGGTAAAAATTTAAAGATCTTCAGAGAGTTAATTTAAGTCTTCCGACTTGGAAAGTCCAAATTAATCTCCTCTCTGTAGAAGAGGACCCATAATTTAATTCTCCCTTAGTAGTAGATAGTTTATTCTGATTAAAATCGCAGCCAAAAGCTGAATTAGATTAATCGTTACAATAATAAAATCTTATAAAAGTATGAGAAAAGTATAAGAAAAATGTACACAGATTAACTACAATCACTATATATGAATGTATTCATGAGTCTCTTCGTCTTAGCCAGAGGAACATTAAATTTCCTCATTCGTCTCAAATTGAGTTCACAGTTGTTCTGAGGAGGCAGGAGCTTATACAGTTTATGGTCTGAGTTACAGGTGATAGAATCAAAAAGCTTAGTTGTGATAGACTGCTTGCGTTGGGAGAGTGTCTCCAAGTTGGCTTGATTTAATGCGTCGCTATATGGAACAAACGGAAAAATAATTCGCATGGCAGGAAGCGCCTCGTGAAACACCGGGCATGCGTATTCCATTACTGGGCGGATACAAGTCCTGTAAAAGATTAGCAGATCTTTGGTGGGAATATTCGCTCTCTTCAGTTGTTTAAGAAAATATAATCGACTTGCAACTTTTTTACTTATTTCAGCAACATGACAGTTCCACCGAAGGTCGGAAGAAATGTTTAGCCCCAACAACTTAACAGTAGACACTACCTCTATTGCCTTCCCGTTGACAACAATTGGAGCAAAGTCCGCGGCTGATTTAGCGAACGAAATCCGCAGTTCCTTACATTTCGATTCATTTAGCTGGAACTTATTTTGATTAGACTTAGCAATCAGTTCCTCCACATCAGATTGAATACGACTGCCTTCTTTCTTGTGAACACACTCTGCAATAGTTGTGTCATCCACGTATTTCCACAGATTCGTATTGCTGGTGTTGATGTCGTCGATTATAAGAATAAACAGCCACGGCCCGAGCTTGGTTCCCTGAGGCACCCCTGCCGGTACATTCCTCCATTCGGACAGGCAATCTTCTCCCAACTTGACTCTCTACGTACGATCTGTAAGGAAGTCGATGGCAAAACGATACGCCAACTGGTATGTCCAAGGCGAGCAGTTTCCCAGCGAGAAGCGCGTGGTCTATCAAGTCAAAAGCCTTCCGGTAATCGAATAAGACGACCCTGACGGTGGATCCTGTACCGTCTGTGTGTTTGGCCCAGGAGTGCACCATATTAATGCATGTGTTGTAGAAGATTTTGGGATAGCCCCAAATTGGTTGTCTCCAATTGTCTTGAGAATTGATGGTCGCAAGTATTCTGCAACAAAAAACTCCTCTGCCACCTTAGAGAGAATGGACGTTAACGAGATGGGACGCAGGTGTTTATTTACGTCTTTAATTGGTTTCTGCTTTGGGATCGGCACGGTATCAGCAGATTTCCAAGAAGGTGGTAAACGTCTTTCAGCAAAAGAACTGTTAATGATATCAGATGTATCGGAAAGGAGATCGGCATTTTCCTTTAGCAACCATGCTGGAATACTGTCGGGGCCAGACGCTTTCCTAGGGTTGATCGACACAAGCTGAAGGTAAACAGCATGCTGAGAAACGACAAATGGTTGCTCGGTGGAGTGGTCTTGCGACAGCTGGAAAGATTCAGCAGATAACGGTGTAAAGTCTTGCATTGGGGAGAGGAAAGTATCATTGATCAGGTTGGCCAGGTCCAAAGCACTAAGAGACTCCTCACTTATGTGTTGTAATGATCTCATTAGCTCTTCCGAGTCCCTAACGGCCGATGACATGCCGCTCAGTTTCTTAACTCCACTCCACCAAGCAGATGGTTTGCACTCCTTAAGCTGGCTAACTTTGGAGTCGTAATACCGCCACCTGCAGATCTTACGCTCACGGTTCACTCGGTTCCGCAGAAATCGAAACATCGGCTGATTATTTTCTGCGAGTGCTCTTTGCCACCGTCTGATAAGATCTTTCAAACCTGAATTAATCCAGGGCGGATCTCTAGAGTGGATCGCTTTGGATCGCAGTGGCAGTACACTGTCCAGACCATGTTGGATTATTGACTGAAAACTTGACCCTTTCTCTGCACAGCCATGTACGTTGCCGACGAGGGTGTACGCATCGACCTCTTGGAGGTAGATGCGTATAGCAAGGCGATTGCTAGGTTTTAAGTCCCTTGTTTTGATCGTTGATCGCGAGTCCGGAAGCTGGGATCTATCCTTTGGCTGTACCTCTACGGACATGTGATCTGATAGACCGTGGGGAGGACGTTGGATGGGGACCTTGTAGTACTCTCTCAGATTCGTTAGGACAAGGTCCAGTATTTTATCGCCTCGCGTGGGGAATTTGACAATCTGTTTTAGATCAAAACTGTTCTGAAGACGCTTGGTGTTAAGCCGATTGAAATCTCCAACAATAAGCAGACCACTGTTGGGAAAGCGCGATTCAATGGAAGACAAACTCTGCCAAAAATAATCTAAAATTGCAGGGTTATTGTTGTTTGGTGGATGATAGATTATTCTTAATACAATACAACTGAATCCCCTCGGGAGACGAGCAGGTCGTAATTTTAACCAAAGCGCTTCAAAAGATGGGTCTTCTAAATCTTCTAGGATAGTAAAGTTAATATTGTCTCTAATATATACGCAAACCCCTCCCTGAGTAATATCAACTCTGTCCTTTCGCACTAGATTGAAGCCACTGAGCGCGACAATGTTATCTTGAACACAACTACGAAGCCATGACACAATCCAAATTTGCATGTTGGGCAACGTAGCGGATTTCATCAATCTTGGGAGCACGTTCGATAAATATAGCGATGGAACGTAGGCAGATGGAGAGCCCTTCCTTGTTGAGATTGAAGTTGATGTTAGACGAACGCAGTTTGACGGATTGTGGGCTTGCTGGGAAACACGCCAAGATAGTTTTCCCAAGCCATTGCCGACACCTCGCTGCTGAATCGTGCTTATTTTAAGACGACGAAGTTTGCTACGCTCTTGAACAAGACGACCAGCACGCATACCTCTATAACGAGGCCAAAGACGTAAGGAACTCATGTTGACCTTGTTAAACTCATGTTGACCTTGACCTTGACTTGGGTATAAAACTTACATCCCCAAGTAAGTTTTAACAGGGTCAACATGAGTTCCTTACTTCCTTCCTTAAATCCAAAAACCAAAATTATTACTATTAGGATCTTGGAGTCAATACATATTTGTTTCACTGTTATGGTAGATCTCTGAGGGGGTCCTTCGAAAATAATTTTGAACGCGCTACCTTATTTAATCCCAACCATCATAAACTATACATCGAGGAAAGGTAATTCAATATCCCATCCCGTAAAATGTTGTTTCGCGGTTTTCGCGTCATTCAAATGGGAGAAAAATTTATGAGGGGCCGTAACTTTAATTCGAATCGGATGGCTCCTCTTGAACAAAATACCAGGTATCGAATTTTACCGCACAAACAAAACTTCTGCAGATTCCCAGCAATCACAAGTGTGCTCCCTAAAAACTGTGTGAGGCCGGTTTTGGTCACTTTGACCAGCCAAATGTCGAGTTTCTTCAACAAAAAAGTTTACTTACAACGCTTTTTGCCAGTACTCGTATGTGCCAAGAACTGAGGTGGAAAATTGTTTATAAGGATGCAGATATCTCGCGTTGTATTACCCCGTAAGCAGTTGCGTTTTAAATATTTTATTTTGTCTCTGCCACTTCTCCACGGAAACAAAAATAGTTACACAAAAACGCAATCAAGCGGTGGAACCGTAATTTATGCAACAGACAGAAAGCTCTGTCAATGTCAATCAGATACGAAAAAGGTTTTAATTCTTAAAATTAACCATGACGTATTTTGAAAATTTGAATTCTTTACCAAACTTTCAAAACTAATTTACCAACAAAACGGAGTGCAATTGAAATATTTAATTAGGAAAACCCGATATGCACATGTACCTTCAAGATTCTCTCAAGCGGTTTGTTTATTTTCGTTCTTTTTCCCTCTCTTTTATTTAATTTGTTTTTCGTTCTCGTGATGAAGTCGCCGCCAGTTAGACGGCCAATAGGAAATTTTGGATGAGTACCTATCAAACAGCAATAACTACGAATTTCATGACGTTTTGTAATGGCTGCTGTACAAGATACTATTTGGAGTCAAGACACGGCGCGAAAAAATTGAAACTTCAGTTGATGTAAGACACTGAAAAACAGGAACCCAAACTCAGTTACAGCTGACAGTTAAAATCATTCCCTATTGTACTGTACGAGAATAATAGAAACATGAAGTAACAAACCTAAATTTCTGCGATTATTTCGAGCTCATTCTTCTAAAAACGCGTGCGTTCGTTTGCCCCATTTAAGTCTCTCATATTAGTATCTGGTACGTACGAGCGCAAAACTTTCTTTTTCAAAATTCAACAGTTTGTTTACCATTACACTTAATTTAAAAAAGGCGTTTCCTTCTCTAAATTCACGCGCGTTTCGTAATCACATATGATCTCTACGTCCAAAAGCTAATAACGTATTTTAACAAACTTTACTTCTCCTGAACAATGATATTATTTCCTCAAGGCAAAAAATCCAAACAGTTTGCGGTACCTCGGGCAATGACCACGACTTACCTAAATAATCGAGTACGCTAAGCGAGTTTAAAAAATTGCTCTTGTATCACTTAATATCAGAAGATTCGATGCTTACCACACCATCAAACAATTAACTTCCTTTTTCGGATACGCAGTTCACCACTAGAGTTATAGAACAAAGAACAATCAATGTAGTTTAACCTACCAGAACTCAAGGAAGGTAGCAGGCCTTTTCTTTCGTACCAGCCAAGATCGGTAATTGTGATTAAGACGGATCGTAAGGGTCGATAATAGCTCTTTACTCCTCCATGGTAACAGTACAGGCTCAGAAAACACGACATACCTCACGTGCGCTGGGCCAAACAGACACTCCGGCGGATCTGAATTACATGTCAACTATTAATTTACGGGTGATTATTGCTTTCCCCTCCACATTTTGACAATGTCCATTATGAAATGGCGGTCGAAACGCTAGCCGCACAAAAAGGTATTTGCTAAAGATTTTTGCAAAATGAATAAACCGTTTCAGTGAACACGCACGCTTTAAGGCAAAGAAAATCGCCAAATTTTGCGCGCGCAAAGACAACTCCACGTTTAAGCCTCATAAGTAGTATATGTGATGAGTATGAGATCAGCTTCCTTTTCTCTTGTTGCCGTATTTCTGTCTTGCCCTACACCTTTCTCAACCGTAATGTAAATCACATAAAACTGACTAGATCGGAAAACTTCCCCGCGCTACGCATAATGCTTTAAAAGCGGGTACTATCAGGGGTGTACAGAATCAGAAAATTCGATCTCAGATTAGATCGTGACAAATAGATCCTTTTCTTTGACGGCGTCGTTTCTCGAATTGATTTTAAACCATCAATATGACTAATTACTGTTTCCTTGATGTATGAGCTGTCCACTTCTTCCAAGTTTTAATTACTTGGACATGATTCCGTAATGGAGGGGGTCTCAATGAGTTGATGGCTTTTACAGCTATTTCAATTTTGGCCAATATACGGCTATCGGTTAATATCTTTTCATGGTAGTCATCATAAACATTTTTAAGGTTAACTTTTACCACGACCAACGGTTAAATTGTCGATTTTTACGGCTAACTGGTAATTTTTGGCCGCTTTACCGCGAACGGTTACTGAATCCTACTGAGACCCTCTTGCAAAATACTCCTTAATGTAATGAAACAAAACTCGTAACAAATAGATCCTTTTCTTTAACGGTGTCGTTTCTCGTTGCTTAACTTGAATTGATTTTTAAACCATCAATATGACTAATTACTGTTTCCTTGATGTATGAGCTGTCCACTTCTTCCAAGTTTTAATTACTTGGACATGATTCCGTAATGGAAGGGGTCTCAATGAGTTGATGGCTTTTACGGCTATTTCAATTTTGGCCAATATACGGCTATCGGTTAATATCTTTTCATAGTAGTCATCATAAACATTTTTAAGGTTAACTTTTATCACGATTAACAGTTAAAATTGTACATTTTTACGGCTAACTGCTAATTTTTTGGCCGCTTTACCGCGCACGGTTACTGAATCCTACTGAGACCCTCTTGCAAAACCCTCCTTATTGTGATGAAACAAAACTTGGTTTTAAGAAATTAACAAGTCGCGGTTTTGTGTCCTTTCCTCGCTTTCACTATGGTTTTCTACGGGTCGACTACGCACGCGGGCTCGTACAGGACATATGTAAATAATTTGAAGAATTTTTTAATTTCTTTCCGTATTTCTACTAAGTGCGGTGAAAAAAAAAATGGAATGAACACTGACAGTGGCCAGTTTTAACGTAGGAAAATCTCACAAGAAACCAAGAGAGGACGAGAACTCAAGGCAAATACATGTAAACTACTTCAAACGCGTCAAAAATAGAGTGATCAGGTAGTAATTTGTTTATGCTTTCCATCTGATTGTTTGAGAGAACGGCACATGTTTTGTAAACAAAGAACAGAGCGTGCATTCAAGAAAAACAGTGCAAAGCCAGATTAAATTTGACACTCAGTAAGTACAGTGCTACAATACAAAATCAAATTTCTTCAAATCTTCTTGCGACCACTGCGAGAATAATTTGAAGTTTTTCTTTAAAGAAATCCTTCTATGGACTCAAGACGTAACACGTTCTTCAGTGTTCTACCATTTTCTGGCTAGTGAAGAGCAATATGGGAAGGTCGCATAACTCGACATGACGACGACGGCCGTCGAATAGCATCACGGGATAGGTAGAAATGACGTCATCTGTTGGCGGTGGATGTGAGATCCAAAGGCGTGGATACACGGAAGATACTAGACAGCATTTGGCTAAATGATGTGAACATTTCCTCAGATATACCCTATGAAAATAAATAGAAGAAAATGAAATGAAAGAATAGTAAAGTGACACACTGAATGGTAAACAGTAAACTTCCTACCTTAGGCACCAAAAACTGTAAATTCAAAGACTCTGCTCCGCTCCACGTGCTGCATTCCATAATAAAACCTACAATGAGGAAGTATACGAGTAATGTTTAGCACACAAGCCGCCAAAAGTATTGGCCGGAGAAAAGCCTTACCGAATGGATGCAAAAAACACGGTTTGCACCATGGAAAAATTCATTAGTCAGTTCACATTCCGATCAACAGTAGTTCCACCGAAACTGGCGTGAAATTCAGAGGCCAATCAGAAAAAAAAAAAAAAGAAAGAAAATTTTATAGCAGGCCAAAAGGAATGCAGAAGGGTTGTAGCGCGGGTAAACTTGTGTGATGAAGTCGCGACTCGTTTAAGTTTTAACCCTTTGATACCTACGAGTGACAAGGATCTAATTTCTCCTTGCAATATCTCCCCAAAATCACAGGTTAAGGTCACGAGAATAAAGGAAATAATCACCAAATAGAGAAGCTCTTGATTGTGAAACAAATTCTCCTTTTCAGAACATTAGAAATTATCTAGAGGACAGTAAGGGGAATATGCATACTGATGTTAGGGTGTAAAGGCTTGAATCTGATTGGTTGAGAGAGTGGTGTGAGTTTCTGAATCAATTAGAGAGCGATGATAACCCTTTACACCCAACAGTATTATGCATACATCCCTTAATGTTCTCCATGCATTTCCTAAAGTGCTATTAAGGATAATTTTGTTTCACAATCAAGAGCTTGTTACTGTCGCGACTTTAATGTGTGACTCAGGGGTGGTATTGTAGAGAGAACTTAGATGCTGGTCAAAGGATTAGGCGAAGCTAACGCAATCTCGGACTATTTTCGACATTAACACGAAAACTGATTCATCGTAACGAGAGCAAGACATTAGTGTGGTAACACAGCTGAAAAAAGTGACGAAATTTTCGTGTCGAGGAAAATACGTAAAGAATAGAGAAAATGAACTTGTTTGTGCCACGCAGTGTTTTCCTTCTGTATTACAAGTAGAATTACATTTAATCATTATTTACCTTTTACACATTTAAACATCAACTCTGCTCTCTTCATGCACCAAGACACTGTCATCTCCTGCAAAGTAGTTAAAATTTTCGTACGTGAAGTATTATGGGAACAGAGTTACAATTTATGAGGTTTCTAAATGCTTCATCTCTTTATATAAAACGCTTTCTTGAATACTTAGAACTGAAAAAAAAATTGATTTAAAAGCACTCGAGATCTCTATCGAAGTAGAATGGTACTCAGTCTGCCAGTGTCTTGCACCTACCTCTGTCATTTCATGGAATAACAGTAGTGGTATAGTTATGGTGGTTATGCTGTGTCTAACAGCTGTGTGCAGAGCGTTCCTTAAGCCAACTATAACAGGATTTCTTGTGCTAATTGTTGGTGACTTCACACTGTCGTCCACAACGAGATGGAACACAACATGTACCTCAGACAAGTTTGAATGCCGAGTGATGTAGATATCTCCTGCATTGAGCGATTAAAAAAATGTTTGGTCGTGGTTGTTATAGCTTTGAACCCTTTACATCCTAATATCAGTATCCATATTCTCCATTCTTGTCTTTATAGATTTCCTTTAGTATTGACAGGGAGAATTTGTTAAGCAATCAAAGCCTCTTAGGTTAATGATCATTTCCTTTATTCTCATGATCTTAATAAATGATTCAGCTGTATGACTGCAAGGAGAAATTAGATTCTCGTCACTCTTTGGGTTAAAAGGGTTTAACTTCTTGCGTATTCCGTTGTAGCACGTTTGCCAATAAATTTAGTTATCTTCGTTAGTAAAACAAACATACAACGATTATAAATTGAAAACAGGGGTAAAATCTCAGAGAGCAGTTCTGTGAGAAATAAATAAGTTAAGAAAAAGGGTTGCGATGCTAACGCGCTAACTAATGTGTTCGGAGCGATTTCCAATTCACGGCCCAGAGCAAAGCGAAAAACTCGATTCGCATTCTTAACCAATCAGATATATTACAAGGAGCCAATGAGAACTTAAAGTAAAAACAAGCGAAGTGTCCAAAGCGCGGGAAAACGGGAGTGACCAAGTCGCGGTTAATTTTACTTCTGCATTTGATTGGTTATGCAGAGTGCCACGTGGGTATTCTGGACCAATCACAGAGCAAATTAGAGCTGGAACCACATAGCGTTTGTGCGGGGAGGGGGAGGGGGAGGGAGAGGACGTTGCGTGACATCCCGCGAAATGGCTGCAAAAGAAACTTCTCTTATTACGAATATTTTCGACGTGTGATTGAAATTGCACTGGGTATGAAAATGACAAACCTGTGTTTAGTGTTAGTGGGCGTAGAGCAGCATCAGCTGAAGGAAGTTGTTGATGTTCACTAGCATTTGACTTGCTACGATCTCTCTTCTCAAACATTTGCTGAATGAGGCACAGCTGTTTGTCCAGGTCTGGAAAATGAAATTCTGTCCCGGACTGCTGACAAATCATGGCAAAATCTAAAACAAAAAGGGTTTCAGAGAAGGTTGAATGCCGATTTTCAGTTAAAATCTGACCACCTAAGCAGTAAAATACTCTACATGTAGAGGTTCTCTTTTATTCCAGCCAAAATAACCCAGGGGTACTTGTCTTACCACAGGAACACCACACTGTGTGTACACGGTTAAGAATTGTTGACATGAGACGAACAAACTCATATGCAAACATACAAAAGCTATGAGGGTTATGAATAAAGCTCTGAAAATTTTTTTAAAAAATGCTTCAACCGACCCATAAAGGCGAAAAAATACCACAAATGCATCAATTAAAATCTCATTTCATTTTATTGAGATATTCAGCCCAAGATATTCATCTCATGTCAACAATAATTAATGACGAACACATGGTGTGGTCTGCCTGTGGTCTTACAGAACTAACTATGAGAGGCTACAGGGAAATGAAAACTCTTTAAACATACGTTTCAAAATTCCTGAGTATGTATTAAGGCGGTCTTCTACCAGCAAAATTACTCCTGCCAGTGTTCCAGAGTACAACGACAGAGCTGTCTGGATTCTGTGGGGCTGTGATAGCACTGATCTGGTTAAGAAAAATAAAAAACTCACCTCATTGTTTCAAGAACCAGTTACATAAACAAAAAGCCTGGATACAAGACTGCCTCGTACATCTATAGCTAATGCTCAAGGTTATCCCTTTTTCTGAAGCATAATAATATGTTAAGGGAATCACAACTCAAGTTACCCAAGCAGTTCAAAGACACCCATTTATACTCCTATGTGATGAGAGGTACTGTCTGAAAAAATGTCTTTTCAAGGACATGAGACAATCAGTAACCTAGCTGGGGCTCAAACCCAGAGGTTTCAGTCTTGAGTCGGTAAACACACACAAGGAAACAAGGTATGGCAGTTTGTCTCCAAAATCAAAATCTTACAATAACAAAACTCAGTGAAAAGTAAATGTTTTTCCTGACATTTACTCAAATGCATTGTGCAAAAACCCCCTAGAAACTGTAGAGGCTTGATTAACTGTTTGAAATAATTGAAGATAGGGGAGCCATTGTACTTTATGCAATTCTCAATTTTCCTCCAGTCAATATTACAGTAATGACTCCATATCTACCCTCCTGGTCTGGTCTTATGTTTGCACAAGTCCAGCACATGGCCACAGATCAATCGCAGATTGTGTGTTGACTTCTTTTGGGCTCCTGTCAATGGTGAAAGAACAGAATCAAAAGGCAGAACATGACTCAAATGACCCCAACTGCTTCCCTTTCAATCTGGAGTTCAGCACACAAACCACAAAGAGCATAACATGATAAAACACTGGTCAAAACATTTTTCTCAAAACAACAAAATCTGCCTCATTGTACAGTTGTGTACTCACCCAAAAGGATGGTAAAACTCTCTTCAAGCCTGAAATCATGCTCAGAGGTAGAAAACTCATTAGCTTCTGGCATGCTCTGAACAGACATGCTGTGATTCCTGAAGTGTTTCAAAAGCATAACATAACTAAGAGTTAAATTGAATCTAAATTGGCCTATTAAAATAATTTCCCAAGGTTTGTTAAATATGAACATCTACCACTCACTTTCCTATGGAGAAAGAGTCTTCCACTGATGATGGATCTGAGGAAGAAACCAAAGAAAGCAACACAAAGCAATCATAAATGTGACTGTACAGTTGGTACAAGCCTTATACAGTCATGTGTGTAGAAACCTTTGGGACAATTTTCAAATAAAACCAAAAAAAATGCACCTTATTAAATAGTTCAACATATAATAACTGAATATTATAATTGTCTATCATTTTTCCAAGCCTTTAAAGACAATTTTTCAGATGAATAATAAAAACAATTCATTTGATGGCTTGCACAGGAAATTCACAACACATGCCTACATTTTGTAAGTTGTTTGCTATTTTATGAGCCCCGATAGGAGTAAGGAGAATAATTTATTGTATCAATGGAGTAAGGTGCTTGCAAAAGACAAAACAGACACCAGTGTCCTTTATGACAAATAAAATACTCAGTTTCACTTAAATTCCTTGCCTTTAAAGGATATAAATAAATCAAAGTTTGGATTTTTTAGTGTAGCTTTTTTGTTACTTTGTTTTGCATTTATATTTTCCTTGTTCTACCATGCCATAACATCATGTATATGTTACATTCCATTGAAATTTTACTTTATTTATCTCCCCGCACTCAAACATTTCATGGAGAGTCAGGGCCCCCCCAAGGAAATAAAAAAAATACTTGAGGCAAGGAATGTGGCTGTTTCTAAGCTAAGATTTGCTCATACAAATTTCCCTCAAATTTTCAAAGTACTGGATAAAATTATAAATCTTGGCAAACATTTCAGCAAAAACAAAAATTATAGTTTCAAAGATTCTTTCTTTGTCATGTGTTTTTACATGTAGATCAATATATATTCAACAAATTACCTGAACTGACTCTGACCATATCCTCATGTACCTTAGTGACCCACTCTCTGTACTCTCTCTTTTGCATCTCCTGGAGTTGTGAGAGCTCACTGGACCAGTATGTCTCCAGCATCTAAGAATTAAATGAAAATAAAAATTGATCCACAAAAGAAAAAAAATATCTTAAAAAAAAGGATCTAAATCAGTCAAACCCCATAGTTATATAACTTACTTGTGCATCCTCACAGTGCCTGGCTGCCAAATCATTGACATCTTTGTCTGAAGTGACAATGCCAAGATTGTTAATGGAATCTTCCATTTCTCTCTGGTGCCTAAAAAACAACATAATTTTAATATAGAGGTGAACAGTTGACTCTTTTACCCCTTAGAGTGACAAGCATCTTATTTTCCCTTACAATTTTACCCCTGAATCAGGAAATGATCACCAATAATAAAAGCTTCTATTTGTTAAACACACTCTCCCTGTCAGCACCTTAAAAAATGTATAGAGAACAGTATGGAGAATATGCATATTGATGTTATGGTGTGAAGGGTTAATACATCTTGGGAAGAAAATTTATCACATAGGAATATATTTACTATAGACACATGAGAAGACTTTCTAATTTCAACCTTCAGTTACACTAAATTCTTAACCCTTTCACTTCCAAGATCTTATCATTGATTCTCCCTTCTAGCTGCTACTCATTTCCCTGTATATTAGCTATGAGAATTTGGTGCTAGATCAAGACAATCACTTCTACCAGATGAGTTTCAGTATTCTCATTACTTCTTTTCTGGATAACGAATGGATATCATGAGGAGAAGTTACATGTTGATCACTTCTTGGACTTAAAGGGTTGAATGTAATTAGCTGATTAGAGTGTACTATTTGCCTTGACAATCAACTTGGTATATCATACTTCTCTTCCATTGTTTTTATTGCATTTGCCTTCTTCGAGACAACATCATCCATTGCTATGGCATAAGTATTCTCCAGTTGCAGCAATGTCTCAAGTGCCGCTGAATGAATCAATGAATGGTACATCTCAGAAAACACAGACTCTTCACTCTTGTCAGTGGCAGAGCTGTAATTTGCATGTTCTTGAGTAAAAGTGTCAGACCAAGAAGAGATATAATCAGCAGCACACTGTGAAGATTGCCTCATTTGTTCAAGAGCTGCACCACCCATTTTATCCTGTAGCTCCCTGCATGATGACTTGTTGAATTCATCTAAAGTTTTAGTCAATTCTATGATTGAGTGAAAGAACAGAGACCAGTAATTAGATCCTCAACCCTTTCACTCCCAAGATCTCATTAGTAATTCTCCTTACTAACTGCCATACAACTCTTATGTTATTAGTTTGGCGAATCTGGTATTAGACCAACTAATAATCCTCTTATGATATTTTTCTTTCTTCCAATCAACTGTCTGCTTGATAGTCTGTATTGACATTGCAAGGAGAAATTCTGTCTTGATCACTCATTGGAGTTTTTAAAAGGCTTAAATTCCCAGAAAAGGTTAACTACCAGCTAAATTTCAACTCTCTCTCCACAATTTCCAAACCTTGGAGTGAATCACACAGTTAACACCTAAACCAGAAAGATCTCAGAATAACCCATTACTCCATTTTGCATACAGTTATCAGATGAAATAAAACAATGGTAAAATTGGGATTAATGTTTTGATCTAGAGTAAGATATTTTGGTTTTATTAACTCAGTTGATAATTTAAATTGACCACCATAAAGAGTTTTGAATGTAAGCCCTTTGTAAGAGTGAATGATGAAGGACAAAGAAACTCTTTATGGTGGCCAATTTGCATTATAAATTCAGATCATCAAACCAATTTATCTTGTTATAACCTCCCCTGATGCAGCACCACAGTTTCTTGAGAAACTAACCCCTTTTTATTCCTTGTTTTTCTGGCCCAAGAGTGCCATATGGCACAGGATGCCATTACATGCTTAATATTTATTCATTTTTTCTGAAATTTTCACAACCAAAAGGTCATTGAAAGATCTGCACATTGATGGCATAAGATCGTGGCACTCTCCAATATAAGTCTTCATTTACCACCCCAACAACTTTTGGAACTTTTTGTCTTTGTACTATTTTGGTTCAGGTAATATCTCACCACAATCAATGCTCTGAGAGCTGCAATTTAAGCTATAGTTTAGTGGTATACGCTATATGAATGAGGCAAGCAAAAAATTTCAATGTTTTTAATTTTTCACTCTGGACCTCCTCCATACCTGCTGGTTTCCTTTATAGCATAATCCAAAAATACCTTTGAAATGATATATTATACATGGTCTGGTGGTTCATCATTCTACTTTTAGAAAAATTTGGCATTTACCTCAGGCAGGAAAGGGTTAATAGTATAGGGTCAAATGAAAATCTTTCCGCAAACTCCCTAAAATATTCATTTATAAGGAAACCTTTTCCCCATCACCTATCCTGTCCTACAAGCATGTCAATACCCTCACCCCGTCCCTCCCCGTCCCTCCCCTTCCCCCACACATCGTTTCCTTTCATACAGTACCTGGTTCAAGATAGCACGGTAAATTGTGAAAAGTTATCAGCCTTTGAACAAATTCTCTCGCATCAACCTTCAGTGGTATTGGTATCGGCACAGTGAGTCTCTGTAATTTCCCACTGTCTTTAAAATCAAACACAAAGTCGCGTTTTTGGTCCTCGTACGTCGAGCAAAGAAGTACATCAACCATCTTGACTCAAGATTCAAGTCGCAAAATCCCGTTTTGCATCGATGAAATCCAAGAGATCGTTCATCAGGGGGCGTAGCTATATTCAAAATTCGAATCGGATCGCAGAGTGGGAGACCATCATTAAAGGTTTCTTCAGATCAGCTGAAAGTTGAGTTTACCACGATCACTGAAGAGTGTTTAGATTACTTAGTACTACAGAGCACATTCCTTTGAGCCCACAGACACAACAGCTGACAGGTCTTAAATTCAAGATGGCGGAAGGAGAGCAACATATTCACGGTAGAAGAAACATTCGAATTATTCTTCATTTGGCGCTTGATGTTGGTGGTGTAGAATTTAACTGACAAAAAACGAAACTTGGGGTTTTACTGACTTATACAGAGATTCCAATTCAATCTGGTTTGCTTACTTTGACAAATGTTCCACAGGCTTGAAAATATGTCATCGTGCCGTTTATATGAACAAGCTTATCTTTAAATTTAAAGCAACGACCTTTCTAACATTATTTTATGTTGTGAGTTGCATTTCAAGTCGCAATTTTAAGGTTTGTTTCACTTTTTTTTTTCTCCTCGTTCGTTTTCAGGGAAGGATGAAGCTTTCAGCCCTTTCTCCATCATGGCTAACAACAGCATCATTGACTTCTGGTAAGATTTTACGCGGTGCGGATAAAAATGAATATTTTACGGTTCATTTTTATGCTATATTTGTACTGTATTCCTTTGTTTTTGGTTCTTGGTATTTTTCATCGATAGTCTTGGTGCAAAGTTGAATCTATGCTATGTCAAAATGCAACTTAGATGAAAATAATTCCGCTGTTTGATCGCTTGTCCTTCATAATCTTTCAAATAGTAATCTCCATAAGGAAACACCGGTATGTCCAAAAATTTGATATGTGATTAACTGCAAGGCATGGTTGTTTTTCATGACTTTCATGTGGCTAAAGGATGTTCAAACAAAAATGTTGTCTCTTTTATTGTTGTTTTGTTGTTGTTTCTGTTATGTAGACATCATGTATAAATATAAACAGCATCTCTGTGTTTTTATTCTGTTCTCACTTTTTAGTCGGACATCATTAGCATCCATGGCAGGCATCTCTGCTGGCATTCTTGGTCTGACAGCTCTGAAAGGCTTCATCTTTTACTTTATAGCTTCCCTCTTTATGTCTGTAAGTTATTTTTCAGTCCATAACATGTGATGGAAAACCCCTTAGTTTTAATGGAATTTAGCCAGGCCATTGCTCTGGAATGGAACTGGTGCTGACTTTTTGGTCAAACTTACACTTATGTCCAGAAATGCATGCAGTAACAAAAATGGCAGATTTTACCAAATTTTGTCAAAGCAAGTGAATGTTCATGGATTTGATCATTTTGGTGAATTTTAGTCAAATTTCTCAAAGCAGAATCAGTTTGGTGGAATTGACAATTTTTACAAATTGAAGTCAAATTCTTCATAGCACAATGGGCTTGGCAGATTTGACGATTTTGAGGATTTTTTGTTACTGTATACATTTCTGGACACATCTCAACCTCAGATGGAGTTCTTTTTTTTACTTTTCCTGGAACTCAAGTTTTCAAATAATAACAGAGCTCGCCCCTCTTTGTTTAAGAGCCACACCATCATGCAGATATGATATCTTGCCACAATTAGTGTACAAGTAATTTTAAATTCACATAATTCTGATGATCTCTTTTCTATTCTACACTACGATACAGTCTTAATGTATTTGTGAAAAGACAATCATTGTTCTCTTCAGCAAGTCAGGACTAATAATAGGTCACTGTATTTGTGTATGGGTGAGATATGCAGATACATATGATTGGTGTGCTGGACTCTGGCTCAAGAGGTTTGGGTTCAAACCTGGCCACCACATTGTGTTTTGTTCTTTTGGTGTTGAATTCAAATCACTTTACTCTCCTAGTACCTTGATCCACCTCAGAGTATAAATAGGTAGCAGTGAATTGTCAAGAAAGCCTGATGAAATGCTGGGGGTAGCTTTGTGATGGACATCCAAGGGGGAGAAGTGATACCCCTTGTAGCTTCATGCCAAGGAACCCAGGATAGACCTTGGATGGGTGCGCAGTGGTTAATCCCCTTTTTACTTGTTTACATGGAATAGTGGAGTAGTGATCCATGCATGGGCACAACACACAATCCAAAGATAACAAACAATAATTTTAAAATGTTACCTCTTTTCTTTAGATTCTAATCTGTTTAAAGGCTGGTACACAGTGGAGAAAATTTTTCATTTCTTGGTGGGATCTGAGCACCTCTGGAATCTTTGGAGGAGTATTTGTATCCTTTTAAAACATGTTTTTAAACGTTTTTAACTGTTATTATTACTATCATTATTGTTTTGATTAAGAGGGTTTAATAGTGATGCAAGCATTTCTTTGCAAAGGGTGAAGCTGGCAGGGGGGAGGGGTGTCCTGGGGTGCTCATGACCCCCCAATGTAAGTCTTTTTTTTAAGCAAACAACCCACGATATTCAGGTAAGAAAACTGGTGAGTGCCCTCTGTTTGACACAGGGTGCCCTGAGGGGGCCCCCCCTACTTTGAAAAATCCTGGCTACCCCCTTGTTTGCCCGCAGGAAAGCACGAGGAGGCCTTGAGCAACTAAGGTTGGCAGAAGGTCTGCAAGGGGTCTGGGACTCATTATGAGTGCTAGACCCCAGGCTTCGTCTCAAATCTTCCCACAGGCAGAGAAACACGCGTCCTGCGGCGCTAATAACGTGAACGTGCTTGCAGGGCTAGGCTTTGGCAGTCACTTTCGATTTGAATTAAACTGATCAAGCCCCATCCAATGTGCCACACTATAGTTTTACAGTGACTGTTGTCAGCTTTAAGGTATTGTTTAATTAATGAACTGCTGTAATAACACAGAATTTGTCAAATTGCCAAAGATTTGAGATTTCCTCCATTTTGAGACAGATTATGTTAAATACGATTTAAAATGGATCACAGTCGCCCGCAATTTCAGCTATTTAACAAGTGTGATATTTTTTTTTATGTAAGGGTTAGCTTTGAAGTGACCTCCACTAAGATGCGCAATAATGATAACTTGTAAATTCACGCCCATATCAAGTTATTTCCTTAACTCTTGTCTCTTGTTTTGTCTGCATTTTAGACATATTTACTATTTTGGACGTATCCTTTGTTCTCATTTATAAAAAAAATTATAGCTTCATTTCTTCAGCAGACGTGTATTTGTTTCCCACGCACTGATATCCCGGAAGAGGAAAACCTCACGACCAGAAGAATTTCTCACATTAGCACGAGACGTGAATCTATGTTGAGCACCGTGAAATTCCGAAAGGAGCAATTATCTGGTCTTTACTTTCGGATTCAATAGCCTTTATATATCGCTACCTACGAGGTTCTCTTTCCTTTGGTAATAAGTGTAGCAAACGCCCAGTTTTGTTTAAGAATCAGAGACATCTTAACGGTTACACTTCATAGTTTCGTATGTATACACCGTTTTAGCCTTTAGTTTCTTTTATGTGGTATTTCCGTCATTTCCTGTTAAAAAAAATTGAGGTCGCGACGTTGTGAGGGTCATGGTTTTCACGTTTTCACAACTTTGAGGATTTTTTTATGCACGTGTTAAATTTTATCACTGCGCTCGGGGGCGGGAGGTGGGGGCTATTACCAACGTGTAAGCGACGTATTGCCGACATGCAACCGACGTATTACCGACATGCAATCGACGTACAACCGACACAACGACTGTCGGCCGACTGATGTTCGAAAGCTGCCCTATCGGTTTGAAAGTCGGATGACAAACGGCAAACAGACGAGCGACAAGTTATCGACAGGCGATAGGTATTTGGGGGAACTTTTCATAATTTTTGCGGTGGCTTATGTAACTTTGCGGTCATAGTGATTTAGTCTGGGGCATGTCACTGGTTATTTCATTACAATTTGCATCAAATTCCCCCGCGGGAAAAAAAGTAGCCACTAGATGTTTGCCTTGCTCAAAGCGTGTTGCCTCGTAGCTCAACTAGTATCTGGGAGGCCTGGATTCGAATCCCGTCTATGCCTGAATTATTTTCAGACATTTTGCTTCTAATAATTGCTGCTTGCTTACGAGTATCATGCGTTTATTTTAGGAACTATCTTGTTATATAGGGAAAGATATTTTTCTTCCTGTCACAAGCGTAGAACGAAGAAAAAATTCTGCGTTCCTCTGAGGAATCGAACCTCAGACCTTCGGGTTCCGCGCTCCGGAGCCACAGAGACTCTATGTTGAGCAAAGCCCATTACAAAGTTCTTATATGACACGCGTCCTGCATACTGTTAGGATCAGTAATATCTTGTTATTTCTTTAACATTTTTAAGGTTTTTGTATGGAATGGTTCATGTATACTAGGTACTCAGTCCGCTGACGAAATTACTGTCAACATTTGGAAGATACACTCATGAGTTTGATCGTTCAACACGCGAAGTGTGATGGTGAAAGGGGAAAAGTTTCTGCCCCATACTGTGATGTGGACCTTCTTAAGACGGAAGAATTACCTTATCTTTTGTGAAATGCTCTCGGATTCAATCGTCGAACACTATAATTAATTTCTATCAACTGACTCTACTTTTGCCTGAGACTCAGAACTTTACCGATGATCTGAAGTAGGAGAGAAATCCTGCGAATGGTTTTTCGGGTTACTCCTAGTTTGCAAGATGGAAGATCACTTGTGAAATCGAGGCTCCGCTATCTTACATAAATTTGAAAGCAATAAACTGCTTGAACTCGATCAGGCCTTCAGAGTATTGTAGAGCATGCGTACATAAGGCGGTTTTCAATTGAGTTTCCTGACACCCAACCAATCAGAACATAGGAAAATATCACAAGGAACCAATAAGCACTGAAAGTGATTACAGGCAAACTACCAAAAGCGCGGGGAAACGTGAGTGACCCAGTCGCGACTGGCTTGAGTTTAGCATCTGATTGGTGGAGAATTGGTCGTGAGTTTTTTTGGACCAATTACAAAACTAGAGTATATCAAAACCAATGCAACAGCGGATTACTCTGGACACTCCGTTGAAAATTGCTTTTATGTGAAAAAAATTTTTTCCTGTTGTGCATGTAAAACTAAGTTTCAATTAAATTAGCGTTAACAACTGAGTTGATAACGTAAATTAGCCACCGTAAAAAGTTAAAAGACTGACGTTTCGAGCGTTAGCCCTTCGCTCTGACGAAGGGCTAACGCTCGAGACGTCAGCCTTTTAACTCTACGGTGACCAATTTTCGTTTTCAACTCAGTTGTTAACACTAAATTATCTGTTATACTCTCCCACCGACGCAGCACTACAGTTTCTTTAGAAACTTACCCCCTTTATAAGTTTCAAGTACTTTGTGAAGAGACAGAGTCTTACAGTACTCTATCAAAGACAAATTTTATCTTTGTACCTCAAGCTATTTAAAATGAAATTCAGAATCACTAGATGTGCTTTATTTGTCCATTGTTTACTAATAGGCTGTGGTGTACGACTGAAATTTAAATACTGAGAAAACATTTGATTAAACTGCTTATAAATTGTTGTGTAACACAGCTGTTTCGTCCTGTAATGATTACTGAGTTATCGTCATTGATAGCGATACGAAGTCTGTTGAGGTAAGTACGATAGGATCGCAGTTGAATAATACATGAGGACAGATCATTAAGAACGGACCTGGAATACCTCTGCCTCCGTTTTGCGGACAACGAACGGCCTGTTAGCCGCAAAGCGTGGTATCCCGTCCTCCTTTGCAAGCCCTTTTCCAATTATTAGACAGGTTTTTAGGAAAGATCGAGTGCAAGGATTTATACCTTACAACGGTTTCTATTTGTGTACCGTAAGGCATTCGTTTAAGGGTTTTCAGCCTTTGGAAAGCAAATTCGTAAGGAAAACCAAATGTTTTGTTGGAGGACTCTTTTCTCAGACTAGCGTCGGTCGATAACCCCTACGGAAAATTTGATAAGGGCCGTGGTTGTATGTCGCCAAATCGTCACACTCTAACACTAGCGTGCATATTGTTCTTTGCACAATCCTGTGGTACAGGCAAGTAGAATCTGTTTAAAACAATCGAGAGCTTCTTCGGTTGATGATCATGTGTGAAGATGTCTTTATCCTCATGATCGTGATGCGTGATTCTGCAGTGATACTTCAAAGAAAAATGAATTAGAATTCTTTCACTCTCAGGGGTTTAAAAGTTATTTTGGTTTACGGAGGGGTCCTGGGCTCTATTCAATGGAAGCGAGAACCGGCAAGTGTATCAACGACTGAAGGGGGTAAGTTTCCAAGGAAACTATGGCTCTACGTCGTTGGAGGTATTACAAAATGATTTGGCCTCATAATTATGAAATGAGTTGATATTGAAATTGCTTACCGTTAAGAGATCCTAAAGCTGAATTTTCGAACGTTTGCCCTTTGTCAAAGCGAACATAACGATAGGGTAATGCTCAGAATGTCATTTTCAGAATCTCTACGGTGGCCAACGCAGCTGATAAAACCAAATCATGTTATGTTTGACTAACGACTCCTAATGTGGTTTATGTGCACACCATTTACAACTGTCCTCTTAGAGCAAGTGTCTACCGTTTGTTGATAGTTCTTCTAGTTTTTTATCTTTTTTTATCTCAATCTTCTTTTCTTTGATGGGGAACACTATGGTATTTCTTCGCGGAGTAATAAATCGATTTTTATTCCTACCAAACTTGGAAAGAGCCAGCAAGAAATGTGCGTCTCTAGCCTTCAATACCGATGGGTAGCGTATGTGTTTTCAACTGGGCGCCCTGGAGTATCACTGTAATTTGGCGGAAATGTTTGCCCAAAATGATTCTCTCTCTATCAGTTGTTTCATTCCCCTTACCAACTGAGGAGAGCACCTTTAAATAGCTTTCCGTGATATTCATGATATCATTTACTTTAAAAGTAATTCATTGTCTTCAGGATCATGTCAGTCAAAAGTCACGTTTCCTTACTCGCCCCAGACTTCTGTGGGCGTGGTTCTAAGGGAAAAGCCCGGATGTTCCCGGCTTCGTCTTGTGTCGTCATTGTACTCAGTCGGCCATCTGTTTTGGCTGACATGGAAGGTACTGTTGAACGGCCTTGTAAATATGTTTTCAGAGCAACTTTGACGATTGTTTGAGGTATCTTTGGAAAGGTGAAATATTGCGCTTATCATATTTTTCTGGCTTGCAGAGATCCGAAATTGGTGGGAGGTACCATCGATAGCACATTTCTGTTCGTTGTTCCGCGCCGCTTTCGGATTGACTGACTTCGAAATCGAGGTACGTACGAAAATCTGCAATTATCTTTTTGTAGTAAGGACCGCGCTTTTTTTTCCTGATCGTTCACCGATAATATAATTTTGAAAGTTTGAATTGAAGGTTCGTTTATTCTTAAGCCTTTGACCTTTCTTCGCCCAAACTATTTCGTGCATTGTTTATTTTAAAATTTGAATTTACGGTGCCAGCTAAAAACTGGTAGCAAAGTTGGAAGCTTAGACGGACATATATCGTTTGTGCCCTGTCACCTTTAAGTTTAAAAAGACATTGTTTTACTTCCCATAGGATTTAGAAGATGCACTTGTCATTGATGGCTCTAATGAAGAGGGAAACAACCGATTTTTGGCCGATCTTCATGCTCGATTGTTAAGGGGATTGTATGGAATAAAGGATATAACGTAAGACAGTTTCAGTTTTTACTGTATTGTATTCTACTTCATCCCCTAGCTTATCCTTTGACCATTTCTTTGAAAATGTCTTAACAACGCATTGATTGATTTTGTTTGTGTGATTACACGTATTTACTAAAAATACGAGCTTTTAGTTGATTTCGTGTGCAAACGTGAATGTTCCTAATTCATTCTAACTCCGACCGCCTCATGGTAATTTTCTTCATTGTCTAATCATGTAAGCCATGTTTTCAAAAATGAAATTATCTGGAATCGGGAACTGTGTAAATATTACTCTTACGATGTTATTACTACGTTATGAATGAAGTCTTCGACGAAGAAACTTTCCAGACACGAGAAAATAGTTCTGGGTCGTGTTCCGTTCGCCGAAATTGTCAAACGAGTAATTCTAGTATTTTATTAATGCTTGCACGATTTTATTATGGAGTGATAGCAGATCTGTTTGCCAGCAGGTTTATCAGCTCTACCGAACACTTTGAAAATCCATTTAGCGTTGTTAAGCCTTGATGATTTGTTTGAAACCATTTTTTTCGCTCATCGTGTTCACGACAGGAATCGATTTGAAACAAATATCCACAGCCTTTCTCATCTTGATTGAGTATCAGTTGACGATGTTGTACCACAACGGCTCGGCAGCTTTCTCCTTTGTGGAACGAAAATACTCTTTTTTGAGATTTTTCATAAAAGTAGACGATCGTAACGAGGAATCTTGATTTCATTGAACTAAATTGGAACCCAAAGTTAAATCTTTTTAGTCGGCTATTAAAAATGGAGGGACAAACGTGCGATTTGATATTCTGACACGTGAAATATTTATTGAGCGATCCTATTGAAAATTTATACCTTGGTATTCGTTATTCGGTTTACTTGCGAATTTTGAGTTATATTTAGAGATTTGTGGCTTAGGAAAAGAAATTTGTTTTGGCGGTGAGATTAGTTCCCTAACTATTTAGGCGAGTGGAAAATTTTCTCTTGAGAGTTTAGCCAAAGCTTCCTTATTTAGTTTAGCGTATCGTGACAGTTTCCATGTTTCCTTTTAGGGCCGAGAATTTCGAGCCATATTTGTCACAAGTATTGAAAATACGCTGGGAAGATGACCTAGGAAAGAAGAACCCTCTGGCGGATAAAGAATACAGGTATTTCGGACAGCTATTTTATGCCTTTGTTGATTTGCCTTGCTCCATGTGGCCGACAACGCAGTATTGTCTATGGCAGCGAAATATGATTAAACGCGTGTGTGTACCCAGAAAGTACGCTTTCGTTTCTAGTTGTTGGAAATGGCCCAAATGCTCACCCGTTCTCATTTTTTCATCAAATTTAGAGTAAAAGTTTTAAACGAAGAGGATAAACCCTTTCTTTTAGGCAATTTGAAAATTAAGTTGCTGTTTTAGTGAGACACAAATTGCTTTGAGTATCTTTGTAGAGGTTGATGTGTTTTCTAAAATTCCCAGCTTGTTTTGAAGCCATCTTTTTTGTTAACACCGGTTGAGGCGCAAATTGTTCTCTTTATTTCATTAAAATGGTAAACATTGAGAATATGTTGCATATGACAGGGCAAACTAGTTATGTTTTCATTGACAAGGCACTGTTTTTTAGTCATAATATAGTTCTCTGAAAGTTCAAAACACGTGTTGTTTTGCAGTAATTTGTGATGTACTCATTCAGCTGAAAATTACCTTCTCTGATCTTTAATGTACAGAGTTATGCTCCACAATCAGGAACTGTGATAAATCTTCATTAAAAATTGTAATTTCGTACTTCTGAAATGTTTATCATGTCTCAGTGTCAAGAAATTTAACCCTACTTGACAGTAAATACTTGGGTTTGACGGAGTGTATTGTCATTGGAATAGTAATATTTTTGTTCTGGCCCACACAATTCTGTTTATCAGCCCACTTTATGTTTTGATACCTTTGTTACGATTGTGCTTATGGAAGAATTAAAAAAACCTGTATTTTACCTCGAACACATTCAAGAGACAATTATCTCTCTGTAGATCTTGAGTACACTTAAATGCTCTCCAGTGACTGAAAGGATTAGAGGAAAAATGATAGATGGCCCATTGTTGAGGGA